GTGAAATGCGGTGACCGGGTGCTGGTGGGAAATATTCCGTTAAATGCGTAATTATTAACTTGGTTTTGAAGGGGGGAGGCGCTTGTCATTTTGGAGCTATGAACCTCTTTACCTACCGTGAAAGGACGGTAAATGCAGTTGTACGGACATGTAACTAGATCCAACGGCCTCTCAAAAACAATGCTACATGGCTCAGTGAAGGAGAAGAAAAGAGGCAGACCAAAAAAGATCTGGATACAGAACATTACTGACTGTACAGGGCTTAGGCATGAAGCCCGTTGTATCTGACCGTCAAATGTGGAGGTAGCTGATCAGACGGTCAACAACAGCTGGTGACCCAACGACGTAGTGTTACGGGATGGTGATGATCATTTTAGACCAATAGCGTGCAAACAATTGCAAGATGTTGGACTTTTCTTACAGTCATTTTCATTCTGTTGCGTCTCATCGGGCTAGCAGTCTAGTCCTCCATTCCGTTCTATGTTGTACAATCCTTTCACAGAAGGAAACCATTCAGGCATGCTTAGCCTCTCTCAGCAACTTTCGTCTCAAGGTTACCTCTGTGCACTGTACACCGTTTGGCTGGGTAATTGTCAGAATGGCTGTTTCATATGGGAGAAAGGTCGTGGGTTCAGCTGCTGGTGGAGCCGGACATTTTTGTCCTTTCAGAAATGATCTTGGCTCCCAGATTGACCCAGCCTCAATTGGGTATCAGGTTGGGTTATGGGAAGCAAAGGCTACAGACATGATGCCCACGACTTCACCCACCAAGAGCCGATTGGTCTATCAAATGTAGGTGGGTCTAGCTCTGTATGCCCAATACGAATAAAGGCGAGGAAAAGGGTCCTTTACTTTACTTTTACTTACTTCTTTGTTAAAGAGTGGATTAACTGGCGCCATGTATAACTCTCCCTCTTTCTTATCCGGGGTTGGAAACGGCAATGACGGAGACCTCAGACAGGTTGCTATTAGTGAAACTCCATTGCAAACCGCTGAATATGAGTATAGTACCGCTGTATGCACCGGTAGCTCAGATCAAATCGATGTGTTTTATAATGACGCTGCATAGCTCTCGACCGGAGTTTTTAAAAAAAAATTGAATTAACTAATATTCGGGGACTTCAATGAAAGAAACTAAGACTAAGTAAGAAAAAGATGACGGAGAACATGTGTGGAGTAACTGGTGGCTATAAACCGTGTGTCTACTAAAGTAAGTAAGTAATGAATGTCCCTTTACACGCCAATGGTGCATCGGGCTCGATTAATATTTGTATAGACCAATCAGCCCTCGATGGGTGATGGGTAAACATCCCGGCCGCTTTTACTTTCTAGAACTTGACGCGGTACCTATTACTCAACAGAAAGCAACATACAACAGTATTTTATCTACGAACAGGACACTGCAGGTTCAACTACCACATGTGCCATAGTTGTAGGACCACTGTTTCAGAAAAACCCAGATTACCTGTCTTATGTTACAGTTGTATAGTTAAAAAATACTTAGTTTACTTGTGTCTGTGTCACAGTTGTAGGGCCACTGGTTCAGAAATACCCAGATTACTTGTGTCTTATGTTACAATTATATATAAACCGGGTGCCTACTAAAGTAAGTAATGAATGTCCCTTTACACGCCAATGGTGCATCGGGCTCGACTAATATTTGTATAGACCAATCAGCCCTCGATGGGTGATGGGTAAATATCCCTGCCGCTTTTACTTTCTAGAACTTGACGCGGTACCTATTTAAGGCTGGGTTGACCTGGGAGCCAAGGTCATGTTTGGGAAAATAATTACGGCACCGTGCGGAATTGAACCCACGATCTTCAGATCCGCAAGCGAGCGTCTAGCCGCTACACCACGGTGGATCTCACTAAAGACAAGGAACGAACGTTTAATGCGTTCAAAGACAAATGTCTGAGGCGAATGACTGTCATAAAAAAGTGATGAAGTCAAGAAGGGTGAAGAAGTAAGAGAAATAACAGGTCAACCAGTAGTATCGACAGTTATAAGATATACAAGATGGCGCTTTATTGGACACATCCCGAGAAGAAACGAACAGGGTCATCAAACAGGTACTGAAATGGGAAATTGCAGGACTGAGGAATCGAGGACGTCCTAGAGAACTCGTAAAACGAACGAAGGACCAGAGGTCCTAGATTTTTATTTTATTCGTGATATGGAAGGGATCGCACGGGATATAACGCAGCGGCATTTGATGGTGATCGCCTTTGTGGTAAGAATTAGCTAGGCGACTGGTTAACGGCTTGGGCTGAGTCACAAAATACAATGAAAGGTACTTGGTTTAAACGACCATCTGCGACGACTGTGGATTAGGATAAGCCCTGCTGATGTTTGTAATCAAACTGATTCTAAGAAGATTCAGAATCAGTTTATCCCCGTGTGGGTTCTGTGTCCCCATTGTGGGGGAAAACAAGAATAAACGCACTGCCTACTAAACAAGCCGTAGGAGTCGACTAACTGGGGACTTCCTTCGAAGTCGGAGTGATTCTGCCCGATGAACAACCAACTGCGCACAAATAAGCTAGTAAAACGTGTGTACACGCAAAGCTCAGGCACTAGCACTTCCCTAGCACAAAGACAAAGTCCAGATGTAGCTTACAGCTGGGAAACAAACAAGGAAACAGTTTTAAAAGCGCAAAGACAAGACCAGGAGTAGCAGACTGCCATAGTTAACGTCATCCAATTACTGGATAGATAATGTTATCAACAATCAAGACTTGAAGAAGACTCAGCAGAAAATCAAGTTAAATTTAAGATCGCTTAAAAAGAATTAAAAAAATTAAAGGAAAAGAATACGTGATTTTATGAAACAATTATTATGCCATCTTGATACCTGTTTCCCAGAAAAAAAGACCTTGTCTTTTGTTAATTTTTGCTTAATAAATGCACGGACTTATTTTAGGAGTGAAACATCGGTCACAGCTCTCTAAATCCCGATTCCGGCCAGAATTTCTTGCTACTCCTTTTCCTGTAGAATCCGTCACCCCCAACCCCCCCCCCCCCACACACACACACACTTTTTTTTTCTTTTCCTAATCTCTCATTTCCAGAGCAATAAAGCTTTCCACAAATTGGCATTTTTGTCCTAGATCCACGCAGCCTGTTCGCAGTGCATAGGAAAGACAGCGTTGATTTTTTTCTCCATAAATTCTTCACACAAGCCGCGACCTCTTGCAAACTAGGATAAGGTTTATATTAAAATCATCCTTTAAAAATGCTGGTGCTTATTTTTGGGGTAGATCTTATTTTCCACAAAGGACGGTAATACAAACCGTGGCGAAGCAAAGGTCGTGTGATATCAGGTGGGGACAATGTCCTGTCAACCCCCACCCTACTCCACCCTCACACACACTTGTGTGTGAGCCCCTCACTGTTTTAACTGGGAAGTGAGGGATGCTGAAGGGGTCAAACCCCCCCCCCCTCCCTTTTTTTCCCCTTCATTTGTGTAGGTGCTGAGGCGGACGTAGACGGCGTTGAGATGGCACTGAGTTATGAGTTGGATTATCTTTACAGCACTCCGGACACACCCATAAGTGCTCTGATTTCCCCTCCAACATATTCATCAGCGTGGCGTGGTTAATAGTGCCATTCCTAAGCTGGTTGACAAAACTTCGTGTGCGTCCGGTGTGCTTCTCATGCTTGGCTGTACCGATCTTTACTCCAAAAGATGGCACTGGGCTTAGCCGAGGCTTTCTTAGCACCATATGCCCGAATGCGCTAATGGCGGGAAAGGAGTCGTTTATTGTTTAGAAAGTGAAGGCGTGAAGCCTAGAAACACACATTAACTATACATTGTGATGATCTGACAGATTTGATTTGTTGCTTAGTCACGACAACAAGTGGGACCCCAGTTCGCCGGTTGTTTACACGAGAAAGTAGATGTTTGCAATCGGTCAGATCGTCCGTGTAACCGCTTTTGTTGGAAATCCTAGCGGCAGCAAAGTCAGAAACAACCTGAGAAGTTACTTGTGGAATAGGCCTATGTAAGATAACCACTTGGTTGAGTTAAAGTCTAGTTTTGAAGTTATGCTGTGATGTATTTAACATTACATTAAAAACAGCGATAATCAATTTTAACGCTACTATTGTTCCGAATTTCATGATGACACAGTCAGTAATTAATAATTTAGAATAAACATTCGCCGTATAGTTTTTTAAATAATCTTATCTCAAGTACTAGCATTAGCATTTTGTTATATTTTTAATCATTGTGGTATAGGAAGGCATGTAATCAAAAGTATTAATAGTGATGCTAGTGACGTTTTATATATTGGGTTCAACTTATGAAATCATCACAGCTGGATAGAGATTAAAATATATAATCTAAGGATACCTCAGTGAAGCCAGTAGGCTTCATGTCAGTGGTGTTTTTGCCCCACAATATACTCCTTTTATAAACAGTTATCATCATCATCAGAAACCACTTCTGCAGTTAAGCGCCTCAGGGATGAATAATTTGCGATCCAGTGCCACTGGCTTTTGTTATTAATAGTTAAAACGGGAATATTTAAAACATATCAAAAAATGTGAAAGTAAACAAAATCCATTTACCCAGAAGATTCAGTAAGTAACCCTAAAGGTAAGCGGTTACACTGTAACTGTAGGATCCCCCCCCCCCCCCTCGGTATAATTGTTTTATTTGGTTAAACGAGTGAACAAGGTTTGTGGAATTTGCTCCTTTTGGATTCCCAGCCGAATATTGGCTCCTTGAGCTACTGGGTGTCAATATTTTTTCAATTAACCAAAAAGTTATGTGGGTTCTGTTTTTCTGCACGGATGCAAATGCTGGACAATAAATGATGAAATTATAAAGAAACTGCTGGAACTCCCAGTAAAGTGACCTTTTGTCCTTTAAAAGTTAAATATTATATTACTCAATTTCAAGTTATATGGAAAACCATAGCTTCATCTGTTATAATTATTGAAAATGTTTCAGAATGCAAGAAAATCAAATTAAAAGGCGTATATCTTCAAGACTGATGCAAAGAAATGGTACAGAACTGCAAAATGAAGTAGAAGTTACTAATTCTGCAATGGGGAACCTTAAGCAACCAGGGGGCAAGTCTGTTTCTAGAAGAAAAAGAAAATCAGAAGCTCCTGAGGACAATGAACTTGTTATTGTTCAAGAGCCTGTTGAAAAATTAAACATCACAAAATCAAATATTTCACAGAAATCAAACTCATATGGTATGCAAAAGAGTAACAACAAATCTACCACACAACAGAAAAGATCTGTCAGAAGAATTCCAGAAATTCAAAACTCTGCAGATTCACAAGATTTACATCAAGATGATTATAACATTAGTGGCATTGACCTGTTAGCAAAGAACCAGAACAAATTAAAGGATTTAAAGAAATATGATATTGTCAGTTCAGTCCCAGTTTTTGAAAAACTGTGCAGGCGCTATGAGGTGCTGAAGAATGATAGTAAAGCTGCTGCTATGTCCAAGTATATGCGAAACAAATTTGTATATTTTGGAATTGCAACACCAGAGCGGAAAGCATCATGTTCTGACGTAAGTTATATCCCTTTTTTTTTTTTAGTTCATGTCAGTTTCGTTGTGCTTATTTATACAATAAGAAATCTTAAGGTTAATTAAAATATGAGAGCCTCAGAAGCTTAGTGGATTGGTAACATAGTGGTTAGTGTACTTATTTACCAGTAGTCCTGAATTCAAATCCTCAGCAGTGATAAGAGTGGATTTCTTTGACAGCTATAGTTTTTGGGTAAACTTTACCATGTAAAAAGCTGACTGTAAACATTACCACATAAAACAGATACTAAATAATTGTCTTTAGAAAGAAAGGGAGCCCACCACATGCAGTGATCTCATATATGTGAAGTGATTAAACTTTACACAGGTCATTTACACACACACCCACACACATTTCATAATTAAACTTGCAAATGCTACAGTTTAACAATATTTGTTGATATTGTATCAGTAAGATCTTTGTTTTCTGCAACTATATTTTCCTTCTGCTTCTTATGCAATCAGTTTCCTAAACAAAACAGATAATTTTCCTCTATGAATCCATTTGAGTTGTCTCAACAGTAGCTGTTATACAAATCTCTTGGGGTAATGTTTCAACTTTCAGGTCACAAAGTGGGGATATGTTTTCTAGAGTGTTAAGAATATTCTTACATGTTCATTGGTCAGTTTTAACAGCTTTTATTCTGTTGAAATAACTTGTAGTTTACACCCGTTTGCATGTACATCCGTTTTACTGGCATATTTGTGTGCAGTTCTTGTTCCCTGCCTCTCAGGTAGATGTACTCTGACTTCGAAGGAAGAAGTTGATCCTATCTCTAGGATGACTGTGGCCATTATTTCATGGGACATGATGTTACCTCATTTGGGTGGTGTCCTCTTTGACCCTTTATCTACAGATGTTGCCCCCTCCACCCAGAACCACTTTAGAGCAACCAAGTGTAGACAGGTCAGCCCTGGGGGAAAGGCAGGGGCAGATCATGGACATTCCTCACCATCCATGGAGGCTTCCATAAATGCAGAGCCAACACATGATGCTCTGGAATAGTCAGGTCTTGCACATGACTGCTTGACCTCACAACCATATGTTGAGCTTTCCACTCATCAAAAGTTGCACCGCCTGGAGATCAGCAGGGACCAGCCCGCAGATCCAGGACTTTGATGACAACACAGATATTTACATTGTTCTTTTTTTTACGTTAGACACCTTTAACATTATTTCAACTGTGTGCTTAGCACAACAGTTCAGAGGGACATGCATCCGGTATGACTTTCCCAGTGGTAGAGATCCATTGCATCAACTTTTTTGTAAAGACCTTACCTTGTTGATTGATCTGGCTTCTTGAAATAATTTTTTAATTTTAATATATGTCACTGTATCTAGTGTAAGTGGCTGTCTTCAAGTATCTCAGTATTAAGAGATAAAGTAAATAAATTATGGTGCAGTTTTTGAACATTCAGATTATGAACATCATCTTTTCTTTATATCCCCCTCACAGCTGTGGGCTGAGGTAAAAACACTTAGCTCAAATGAATTACGCACCCTGGCACAAATAACATGGAACTCTCCTGAAAGAGAACTTCACTATTTTGCGACAGAATTACTACAGAAAGAGGTATTCCGCATTTATGAAGATGAAGATCTGACTACTGGAGATCTTGCTTTGAAAACACTGGAATTTGTGAAAACATTCATTGATCATCCGTCCAGTTGGTGGGACACTGTAGATGGCCTTTCACCTAATGGTAAGAGTCAAGGCAGTTGCTGAACTTAAAGTTGAAACTGTTTTTGCCTTAGCTGTTTCTTTTTTTTCTTTCCACCAGACAGTTTACAGCTAAAAGCTACACACTTCACAGAAACGAGCATCTTATTCTTTCTACTATGAACATCCACATGCTGCTTGTGTAGTTCACTGTATTATCTTTGTATTATTAATCTGTTTGCAATTTAAGTAAACCTTATTAAGACAAACTGGCCTTTGCCATTATAGTGACATTAAAAATGAGCTCTGTGGAATAGTTAGTGAACAATAGATTTGCAGCAGGCTGATTAAAAAAATAAAAAAACTGTTTTTTGTGGTATTGGACAGTGTTACAAGAGTTGCACTGTGGAAGAGCCTCACCATATACTATTGCTGAATTCCTGAAGATAGCTAATGTTGCAAGTTTAATGGTGGTGCGTGTGTGAGTATGTGTATTAGTGTCTCTATGTGAAGTTTAGAGCTTCCCATATATGAGATCACTGCTTATTAAAGTAAGCTAACCAGCCAACTTTCTCTGAAATTTGTTTCTCTGAGGTGTCGCCCCTGTATCAATTTTTATTGTGGAGAAGGCATTTAAAAAAAAAATATCCATCTTCAGGTTGTTCAGACCAAAGACTGATGTTGAATTAGTCTTATCAATATCAATATCATGTTGCTTCACCATCCCATTTCTTTGACAGTTCACCTTAGCTCAGCATAAGCCTGAACCCGATTGTCCTTGCATGATTGTTTGATATAGTTGTCTCTTGGATGTTATCTTAATCTTTTCTCCTGCATTTGTCTTTCAAGTGTTTTTAATAGTGGATTTCTATGTGGTAGAAAAAATATTAAACTTTAATATTTGTCTTCATTTATCGTATGTTGTATATCAGAATTGTTTTAGCAGTATTTAAATAGGTATTTGCTTAACATTTATTGTACATTTTTGGATTGTTTATACCAAATTAATTGTGCTGTTGACATCATTATGAAAACATAAACTTTGAAAAGCAAAAGGTATAAAATCAATTATTAAAACAAATGTAAATAATACATACAAACACAAATCTCTAAAATACATAGTTTTAAGAACAGCAAATCTGAGCTTTCTTTCTGCTACATTACTATGATAATTTTGTGTTTGCTTATAAATGGATCAGTGCAAAAGGATACAATAAGGGGAAGAACTAGTGCAAACATCTAACAGACTCAATGTCAAATGTACACAAAGCCCATCATAAATTCTACAGAAGTGTGTACATGCTTTTACATGCAAGTATGCATTTCAAACTGCAGAAAATGTTCTAACACTGCACCACAAATAGATCAGAAAGGTATATTCTGTAGCTGGATTCTAGATGTCAAACTCTACTGAAGCCTCCAAGAATGGTAGAACATTTGGCAGGCAATGTAGAAAACAAAACTGCAGGCAGGCTAATTAATTCTCAGTAAAAAAGGAAGAAAATATTGAAACATTGTGTCTATTATATATAATTTTTTTATAAAGAAACATATTTAAAAACTTGAAACTATATTACTTTTATGTGAAATGAACAAAATGATTGCTAATTGTAGATCAGTATGTTAATGCAAATTAACTCACAACCCAATCGTTAGTAAAAATGATAGTGAACTGAGTGAAAAACTTACTACTTAGTGTTTGTCGGGGCAAGAATTTGTCTTGAAGGTGATACTAGCTCTTCAAATCTATCATAAATAGAATAATACATAGAGATGTTATAATTTATGTTTATGCTTTGTTTTGTAAGAGTGCTTTCTGTCTCTCTGTGTGTATGTTAACCTGTAAAAGATTTAGACTACCTGCCTTATGCCACAGTTGTAGGACCATTGCTTCAGAAGTACCCAGATTACTTGTCTTATGTCACAAAAGTATGAGCGTAAGTTCAGAAATAGGACCACTGGTTCAGAAATACCTAGATTACTTGTGTCTTATGTTACAATTGTGGAGAGAACAGAGTAATAGTAAACATCCACAAGACCTCGTCAGCAAACTCAACAGAAAGCAACATACAACAGTATTTTATCTACGAACAGGACACTGCAGGTTCAACTACCACATGTGCCATAGTTGTAGGACCACTGTTTCAGAAAAACCCAGATTACCTGTCTTATGTTACAGTTGTATAGTTAAAAAATACTTAGTTTACTTGTGTCTGTGTCACAGTTGTAGGGCCACTGGTTCAGAAATACCCAGATTACTTGTGTCTTATGTTACAATTATATATAAACCGGGTGCCTACTAAAGTAAGTAAGTAATGAATGTCCCTTTACACGCCAATGGTGCATCGGGCTCGACTAATATTTGTATAGACCAATCAGCCCTCGATGGGTGATGGGTAAATATCCCTGCCGCTTTTACTTTCTAGAACTTGACGCGGTACCTATTTAAGGCTGGGTCGACCTGGGAGCCAAGGTCATGTTTGGGAAAATAATTACGGCACCGTGCGGAATTGAACCCACGATCTTCAGATCCGCAAGCGAGCGTCTAGCCGCTACACCACGATGGATCTCACTAAAGACAAGGAACGAACGTTTAATGCGTTCAAAGACAAATGTCTGAGGCGAATGACTGTCATAAAAAAGTGATGAAGTCAAGAAGGGTGAAGAAGTAAGAGAAATAACAGGTCAACCAGTAGTATCGACAGTTTATAATGATATACAAGATGGCGCTTTATTGGACACATCCCGAGAAGTAAACGAAACAGGGTCATCAAACAGGTACTGAAATGGGAAATTGCAGGACTGAGGAATCGAGGACGTCCTAGAGAACTCGTAAAACGAACGAAGGACCAGAGGTCCTAGATTTTTATTTTGTTCATGATATGGAAGGGATCGCACAGGAAATAACGCAGCGGCATTTGATGGTGATCGCCTTTGTGGTAAGAATTAGCTAGGCGACTGGTTAACGGCTTGGGCTGAGTCACAAAATTCAATGAAAGGTACTTGTGTCTTATGTTACAATTATATATTACAGAAATACTTAGTTTACTTGTGTCTGTGTCACAGTTGTAGGACCACTGGTTCAGAAGTACCCCAATGTATTGCTGCCTGAGATGGACAAATGGAACCAAAGTTCATGTTTCTGGGTGTGCCGTGCATCTCTACTGTATCAGCTGTCATTTAAGAAAGACACAGATGCTGACAGATTATTTCGGTAGGTAAAACATAGTAAAATCAAAAACCTCTGCCCTGTCTACAGGGTACAATCATTCAAAAGTGCTAAATACAACATAAAATGGAACTAGTAAACTCAACGGAGGGAATGGAAAAGATGCACACAAATACAACTGAACATTTCGATAAAACAATCAACAGAATACTAAATACAATACAAGCTGTAACTGGAAAACTCAATGGACAAGACAATATAGGATATCATATAAGCTTCTTCCAGTCATCTCTTGATGTTTTTCACCTATCTTGACCTAAAACTACTTAACTATAACTATGTCTTTTCTTACACACTTCATCTCCACCTCTCCTTCAAGCACATTCTTTAACAACAAGCATAAAGGAAATACGATGCTCAGTCCTTGTTTTAACATTGACACACCTGTGCTGAGGTCAATATCAAACTAGCCACCTGATTTAGAATGCACCCATTTATGAGACAGTTCTGGAAGAAAAAAAAGACAAAGGGAAGCACCCAAACATGTATTGGGTAGTTATTAACAAACTGATAAGAGAAGCTCTGGTGGAAGCTGAAATACTAACTAGAGGTGGACATATGGAAATAAATATAGAGTACAACTGGAAAAGTTCTCCACAACCACTGTCTAGACCTGTGGTTCCCAGCTGGTCGTCCACAGACCCAAAGGAGTCCATATCATTTGAAGAAAAACCCCAACATTTTTTCTTGCATTTGTAAAATAGATTTACATTTTTGTTAAAAATACGACTATTTAAAAGGTAGGGGTCTTTAGCAGGCCTTTGAAAATAAAAGGAATATGTGTGTTTTATCTAATTAAGAACCACTGTTCTAGATTTGGGGGGCAGTGTAGATAGGTAGCATGTTCTGCTGTAAGCTATGATGTAAGCTAGGATGGGTGAGTAAGTAAAGTGAAAAAAAAAGTAAAGGACCCTTTTTCCACGCCTTTAGGCATATAGGGCATATATGGCTAGACCTATATTTGTATAGACCAATCGGCACAAGATGGGTGATGTGGTCAGCATCAAACTGGGCCCTTTTACTTCCCAAGACTGCACCCGGTTCCCACTCAAGGCTGGGTCGACCTGGGAGCCAAGGTCAGTTTTTTAAATAGTCCAGCTCCACCAGGGAGCGAACCCATGACCTTCCGATCCGCGGCAAGCGTCTGGCAGCTCGGCCACGGTGACTTCCTGATGGGTGAGTGACATAAAAGAAATACGAGTCCTTGTTTTAACATTGACACACCTGTGCTGAGGTCAATATCAAACTAGCCACCTGATTTAGAATGCACCCATTTATGAGACTGGATGAAACCTATAGCAATATGACAATTAAGTCTGTAGATAAAATCCCTAAATACAAACTATGGCTTGGAAGCTGATCATCATCAATTATCAGGTCCTTTACAGAACGTACAGTGTCTTGTATCTCCCGTGTGGGTTCCGGGGCCCCATTGTGAGGGAAACAAGAAGAGACCCACTGCCTCCCCAACAAGGATGTTTTAAAAGTCGACTGATTGGGGACTTCCTTCAAAGTCGGAATGTATCTGCCTGAGAGGCAAGGAATCAACAATCTGAAAACAAATAAGTCAGCTCTGTAAAACGAATATGCACACTCAACACTCAGGTTCTGAAACAAGACTAAAGTCCAGAGGTGGACAAAAAGCAAGAACTTTCCACCAGAGTTTACAGTCGGTGACTGTGAAGAAGAAAGAGAAGATATAAGTTTGACTGGTCACCCTTATTTTTCAAGTCTCTGGATGGATTTGAACCCATAAGTTCCCAAGTGAGTTCTGGGGCCCCATTTGGGGGCAGGGGAATAGACCCACAGCTCCCTAACAAGCATGTTAGAAAAGAGACTAATTAGGGGAATTTCCTTGGAAGTTGAAGTACATCTGCCTGAGAAGTGAGGAACCAACAGGCTGCATATAAAGTCAGATCTGTAAAATAGATCTTCTTATTCTTCTTCTCTTCCACCTTGTACGTAATTGAAGTGTCGGGGGAAGATGTAATGCTCGTTGATGAGCCGTCATGAGCACTATAAAGACTGATGTTCATTTCTGTAAAGCTGTTATTTATGCCATCATTCTATATTTTCTTAGGTCTTCCACTCGGTGTATACCCCTTGTAACATTTCAGTGTGGCTCGCTGTGGGAGATAGTACCAGGGCATTCTTGTTAGGTGTCCAAACCACTTTGTTTGTTGTTCCTTGATGACCTGTAGACTTGGCTTTATTCCTAGCATTCTTCTGATTTCATGATTTCGTATTCTGTCTTTCCTTGAAACTCCTGCAGCTCTTCTAAGGCATTTAATCTCTGTTGTCACAATTCTACATTCATTACAGGATGTAAGTGTCCACATTTGGCACTAATAACATAGTACTGGCCCAAAAAAAATAGTTCTGATAAGGTTCACTTTAGCACTCCAGGGTATCTGCTTGTGTGTCAACAGGGGTGTATAATAGATGTGGACGGAAAACTTAAATTCTGGAACAAGACCAAAGTCCAGAAGTGGACAAACAACCAGGATAGGATTTGCCATCAAAGTTTACAGCTGGTGAAGGCGAAGAAGACAATGAACCCAGAACTACCAGACACATTCAGTAGCTATGACATTACCACTTCTGCTTTCAAATCAGGTGTTTGTAATTATTTGCACAATCTTTGTCTACAGGTACTGCCTGCAAGTCGCAGAGGAAGAAGAATTTTTTATAAGGAAAGCAATTGGATGGGCATTAAGACAGTATTACAGAACAGACCCCAAGGCTGTGCGAGAGTTTGTGCTGAAACACAAGAACAAGTTGTCTCCACTCAGTGTCAAAGAGGCTCTGAAGCATGACAAGAAGCATACATAAAGTATTCAAATATATTGTGACATATGAATTTCACATGTTTGTTACCACTGGCAATTTTATTCACATTTAGCCCGGTTTGCTAGCTCAGTTGGTTAAACCTGACTGTGTGGTGACCGGGTGGCGAACTTCTTGTAGTCCGGGTTCACACCCGGGGGTAGGCAGAAAAGTCACATTTCTCCCAGATTTAGGGTATCTATCATGGAATCAAGGCTGGAAGGTTGCGATATCCATAGTAGCGAGCCAAAGGGTATCTGGATATTTAAACAAAAAAAAAAATTCACATTTAAATCTCCACCAATAACTGACTTCCAACAGGCAGACCTACAAACACTTAAAGTTTGTTCCTTCCTCACTTCCTCTTTAACCGTTTTGGGTGTTGAGAGATACAGGGTTCTGCTTCTTACTTTTCTGGGCATCTTGACCAAAGACATCGAGCTGTTGAAGAGAATCTTTCCACATTGTTCTTCGTTTACCATTTGCCCTTCCTTCTCCTCCTTTTTTTAATGCCTGGTATGGTACAGCATCCCAAGACATTCTCTCCAAGTAGGAAAACCATTTGATATGTTGTCTTTGTGTGTAATGGAGAATTAGTTCCGTGCCGACTTTTTATCTCGTATGATCTTATTCCTGATTTTCTCTCTTCTGGTCACTCCTTTAGCCCTTCTTAGACATCTCATTTCCATGGCTACTAATTTTCTATTCTGGTTTTGATGTGACCACATCTGGCACTGGTGGCATAAGATTCTGATTAGATTAAGATTGCCTTGTGCTGTAAAAAATAAAAAAAAGTGGGGGGTGGATGGGGTGTGTGTCTAATATTTTGCTTTTTTTGCTGGTTAATAAAATGTTCTTCATAAAATTTTACTATTGTATTTTAAAAAGCAGTTATGTATACACACCATACATGTCCCCTAAATTCTTGTTGGGTGTCACTGCGTAGGCAGTAAAATCTTCTACCAGTTTGCCGGAACAGATTCATCTTTAACATCACACTTCTTAGGAACATTTCATGTCATATTTATTAATATTTTAAACATTTAGAGCCATCCTGAAGAAATACAATCATCACAGATCACGGGGGAAACCATGTAAAATATGGAATGATGGAATCAAGAGCAGACATACTTAGGAAATGAAGATCAACACAGGTAACACATTAGAAAGAGCGCAGAAGATCCCAAAAGCCATACAACAGCCAGTTAACTTGACTCCTTCTGTAGCATATTAAAGAGGAACGTGGGTATGACATCAATATACACAAAGAAGAGAGCTGTGCTAAGATAGCACCTGAGTAACTGAATGACAGTTACCACTTCAGAATAGGAGATCTGTCATTTGTTGTTGTATATAAATAAGTTAGTTGCATATCTTTTACAGCACATTGTAGAACCAACACCAGCATTATTTCGCTGTTGTGGTTTTTCTAGGCAAATTGTACGTTCAGTAGTTTGCCATTGCCTTCTGCCGGTCAGCTCTTGGTACCACTGTAGAAACTAATGTAAGACGTTCTGCTGCCAAATCGGCTGCAACTGGGATCGAACCTGGCACCGGGCATGACAAAGCAGGTTCACAACGCCTAAACCACAGATGCTGACTATATATAAATAGAGTATGCAACATATTGTAACCACTGGGATGATTGACGGAATTAAGAGAAAGGCTGGCAGTGGCAGAAAAAAGCTGATGAGCTGACAGTGACAAGGAAGGCGATGATCATCACTGAACATAAGAACTAAAAACAAACAGGTGGCTGTGGAGGAGCTTGATCGCCTGCACTACTTAGCGAGCACATTATAATAATGATGATGATTTATTCTGCTTCTCAATAAACTCTTACTGCCGGCACAATTGGATTCATTCTCACTAGGTGATTGACAAATCAACATTTAGAAAAGAATACAATAATGTCTGATTTGATATTTAATTTTTTCTGTCTATGCAGTCTGACATTGGAATAACATGAAATAACAAAATGAACAACCTCCCATGCAACATTTTATCCAAGTTTACATACTTGTATGTATCTTACAATGTTGGCTAAAGTAGTCACAATTAAACATGGCATATAAATGCACGTGTTATTGTGACTGTATAGATCAACATTCTTCACTACATTCAGTGAGCTTTTGTAAACAACAATTTTGAAAACATAATACATGGTCAATAAAAGTGATTAACATAGAAATCAACAACAAACATCTTAAAGCCACTGATTAATCTAAATGAGCAAACTTGTGCAAAGGAATATTTTCACCGCAGAAATAACACTGAAAGTGGCATCAGTTAGTTTAGTGCCTAATGGGCGCTGCCTGGGCAACATTTGGAGTTAAAAACAGATATCAGCAGTTCATTTTGTTACTAAACATAAATTTGTCTATAAAGCTCTGAACATTTAACAACTTAATGAGTCCAAGAAACTGAACTATTCATCCAGTAACAAGTTATTTTTGTCACAAATACATATTAAAAGTATTAAATGTTTAAACAGATGGTAAAGTATATTTGTTCTCCTTTTATATATATTTTTTTTAAAATCATTCAGCACATGATGCCAGAAAGAACAACAGTGGAATGTAAACTCTATGGACCACTGAATGAACTAACAACGACAGTGAAATTTATACAAGAGACAAAACTGCTGATATAGACAACTTATTTCAGGCGAACGAAAGAAGAAGAAGCACATGATGGATGACATGGTCACCACCATGCTGGCCACCTTTACTTCCCAGAAATATTTCTTAGTGATAAATTAGGCTGAAATGTCCTAGAAACTCTTTTTTTAAACATTCCAACTGCTGGGATTCGAACACATGGTTTTGGGACTGGCAGGCCAGAAGATGTGGGCTCCTGTGCTACCCCAGGTTTCATACAACTCTAAATTACATCATCAAAAACACAAATTATGAATGTCAAAAATAGACCCCTTTTCTACTACATAAAAACTACATCAAGCAGTCACATTAAACTTTGAACAATAATCATTTTCCAAGTCATTCATTAACATATATACGTTCTCGATTTTGTGCTATACCAAAACAATTGCCTGTATCAATATTTTAAAGTAATTAATATTCAATGTTTTCTAGCTGAATATAAGAAATGAGGTCACACATCATCTGTCACTGTCTAGTCTCACAATTTTTTGGTCCTATATGATCTTGTCATGGCAACAAATTTACCCTCTTAGAGTGAAACTTTTATTGTGTTGATAATTATTTATTAATGCTTCTATAAAGCCACCTGTGGCTTAGGAGTTGTTAATGGGTTTCTTAATGCCAGGTTCGATCCTAGCTGCAGGCGATTTGGTAGCAGACTGCCTTGCATTGGTTTAACAGTGGTATTGAGAGCCAATCATCAGAAAGCAATGGCCAACTACCAAACGTAAATTTGACTAGAAAAACCATTACAGCCCCTCCCCCCCCAAATGCTGGGGTTGGTTCTAAAATGTCCTGTAAAGGACACAACTAGCCAATAGCAATCTACAATCATTCTTTATTAACTTTCCTATATAGTCAACACCAATCTACAATCATTCTTTATTAACTTTCCTATATAGTCAACACCAATCTACAATCATTCTTTATTTTCTTATACAGCCAACACAAATCTACAATTATTCTAGTAGCATACTACCTATGAAGCTCGCGGATTTTTATCGTGGTATGGGACGTCGCAGGTCGACCCAGCCTAAAATGGGTACCAGGATGGGCTGTCCTGGAAAAGTAAAGACAGCCGGCGTAATGCTAACCACATTACCCACAGAGTGCTGATGGTCTGTAAAAATATGGGACGCTCTGCTCATATGCCCGATGCTCCGAAAGGCGTGAAAAGGGATCTTTACTTTTTACCTATGAAGCCAAAACCAGTCTATACCACAAGGTTGGCTGCAATGAATCTTCAATATTCTCTTAACTGATTGATACTAGTTTTACACACTGACAAAATGCTATTCATTCATCTCCTGATGTTATCTTCCCACTTGTATATCTATCTACCTCTTGTTACTCTGCCAACATTATCCCCATCAGTCCCGATTTTATAGGAATGCCATTAAATTGCAAATAAAATATATGTTTTCATTCTGTAACTTCTTTCATGAGCTTGCAATATCAGTCAGCCTACCATCTCTATATTTATTCCTTTTGTTTCCAGCAATACAAAATACTCCAAAAAAACCTCAATCTGGTTTCTAATGGCCTATTAGCCACAAATCAATCTTCAGTTTATGTATATGAAACAATAGTTTTATTGCAGAGATAATCTGTAACAGTGGTTCTTGTCTCCCTTGAGAATGAATACAACAAATAAGCTTATGATAATCCTAGGATTTCTTCTGTGTCTGGGTTGATGTCAATGTCATAGAAACAGGGGCGGGTGGGAAGGCCTGGCATTGTACTCATCTGAAAGAGACACAAACAATTTTTTTACAGTTTTTGACACAATCTATGTCAAAATAAACAGTTATTATGTGATTTGTTTTGCCTTTACGTTAGAGTACCACTGCAGGGAGAAAGCTGTGAGATGCAGCAGCTAGACACACTGCCTCTGGCCAAAATATCTTGGGTTCACATCAGCACCAAGTCAGATTGTTCTCAAAAATGACCTTGGATCCCAACTGACCCAGCCTAAAATGGGTACCAAAGTCCTGGGCAATAATGGCCAGGCCAACTGGTCTACACAAGTATGAGTTTAGCATCAAACACCCCGTGCGAAACTTCCATGAAACAAAATTTTTGTTACTTCAAAAAGAACATTTTAAAAATACAAGGTTTGGCAGAGGGGAAGAAGAAAACAGACAGACCAAGAAAGACCTGGCTGAATTGAATGGCCTAAGTCAGAGCTATTCAACTGGCGGCCCGCAGGCCGAATCTGGCCTGCCGAGGCCTAGCAAGTGGCCCGCAGATCTTTGCCAACTGTATTAAGGATCTTTCTATGCTGGTGTTCGGGCCTCTGGCCATGATGATCCTTCGTTTCAACATTTTGGGCCCTTAGTAAACTTAGTTGAATAGCCCTGAACTAAGACATGCAAACACCAGGTTCACACTGAATCTGACCAACAGGTGGAGGGAGCCGATCAGACAGTCGACTTATGACCCAAAGAGATGTGGTGTTATGACTATGACGATGATGATGATGAATTAAAGTGAAAGGTAAAGGGCTCTTGCCTACTGCCCACTGGGCATGTGATGTTAGACCCATACTTTTAAGCATCAATGGCACATTAATGAGCAAGGTGATTGACACCACACAAGACTGGCTGCCTTTACTGCCAAGAACATTTCCTGGTACCCATTTTAGGCTAGGCTGACCTGGGAGCCAAGGTTAAGAAAAATTAACAAAGAATCTGCCCCAAACCCACAAAAGTGATGAAGTTATTGCACCAACCTATGTTCAAATAGGGAGCTGACTGGTCCATAGAATTTAGGTCTAGGACTATATGTCTTATATGCCATCAGGTGTGGAATAATGTCTGTCTTTTCTTCTTAACTATATTCAACTGTTAGTTAACTGTACATCTTTTACACATTGTTTGCACACCGACCTTAGCAACTGTGGTCAATTTTTTTTTTTTTTTTTTTTTTTACTTAAAAAAAAAAATTATATTTCTTTTTTTTTTTTATTTGAAAAAAAAAAAAAAAAAAGCAAGTTGTTGCCTAAACTTAGGTTGATCTGCGTCACCATAACAGTATATTTTTAAACTCAGAGAAATGCGACCCAGTTAATTCTCTGCTGATTCATGTTTACTGATGACTTCCCTATTCTGTATAGTATTTAATAATGTTTTGGTTGATAAATGAAACACTTAGGATTTTTCAGTGATAAGTGCAAATGTTTTTTTTTACATGGATTTTTTTCTGGGATTCCCTGATTACTGTACATTGGCAGGTTTTTTCTGAGTCACCGGGGTTAAAGGGTTAACATTTTAAAGTGACATTTATAGAAAAAGAGTAAATGATCCTTTTTACGCCATTAGTGCTAGATCTATATTTTTACAGATCAATCAGCATTTGACAAGTTTTGTCAACCAGTGCCAATGGAGATGCAAACTGATACAGCCTTTGATGTTGAAAAACAAGTGAGACTTTGAGGGGGGGAACAAAAACTTACACTTCCAATCAGAGGATAAATGAATCCAGCTCCAATACTTGCTCTGGCTTCCCTGATAGGGAGAGTGAAACCTTTAGGGGCACCCTTCAGTTCAGGCTTATGGGACAAGGACAGGTGTGTCTTGGCCATGCAGATGGGCAAGTCGTTGAAGCCCTGGATTATATTTAAGGTAAACAATTTACTGATAAATACAAAAATATACATTTGTTTTTCCTCTTCTTCTTAGCATTAACCAGCTGTAAACTCTGGCAAAACTCATGGTTGTTCGTCTCCACTTCTGGACTTTGAGTCTGGCCTCAGAACTTGAGTGTTGCGTACACATCCATTTTACCGATCTGACTTATTTGTATGCAGACTGTTGGTTCCTCAGCCCCCTAGGCAGATGCTCTCTAACTTTTAAGGAATATATCCTCTGTTTCAGTTTAAACATGTATTCCTAAATATTTCTGAATACATCAATAAGATGAAATTGTGTCTCCACAAAAAAAAGGCCGGCCGCACTGTATCCCCTGCGTTTCTCTGTGTGTATATTACTCGAGGAGGCTGCCAATCTCTTCCATGGTGAGATTATAGTACTGTGCTCTGGGAGGGGGGGGGGGGTGTGTCTGCGTGGCTAAGTGGTCAAGATATCTGTCTCACATTCTGAAAAGTCGTGGGTTTATTTCATGGTTGTGCCATCCAGTTCACGGGTGGAAATTTTTAAGGAAACACCTGCGGATCGTCGCCAAAGATTCAGTGTTGAGGCTTTAACAATGCTTTCGGCAGATGGCTAGCCATTGGACAGAAAGAAAGAGAGAGAGAGAATGAGAAAGAGAATGTGAGAGAGAGTAAGTGAGAAAGAGAGTATGAGAGAGAGAGTCTGTGAGAGCCACATGGGATAGAACCCGGTGCAATGGAATCGCTCTTCTGGACTTTACTTTTATCTCTGAAAGCCATGACAGCGGTCTTTTTTTTAAACCGCCCACCATGGGAATCAAACCCTGGTCCGACAAAGTTTGAAATATGAAATGATTTCCCTGACCTCTGAGCCACACAAACAAAACGCAAAAGAAACAAAACATGTTAAAACAGACTAGATGGGACCTAAACATATATTTAATTGAAACAAGTTGCAAGCGTTTCTGAACTTAACATAACACTGTGACTTATCAGCATGCAAGCACTGGCCCTCACCACCATCCAAGTTCACCCTCACCAGCATATTTTTAGGATACCCTCACTAACGTACAAGTACCACTCATCAGCATAACAGTAACCTTCATGAATACACAAGTACTGAATCTAAAACACACATAATGACTTTCACATACAAGTGCTAAACCTCATAAATATCCAGGCATGAATCTTCACCAAAACCCAAGTACATTCTCACCAGGATAACCAGGGGATCTGGTACCAACGCTTAACACTCAAGGGAAGGGCCAGACGGATATACAATCAGACAGTTACTGGTCCCATCGGAATTATAATTCTTCATTTGCTGCTGAAGATAAGGACGGAGCGCTTACGTGGGTGTCCTGAGTGCTATGATGTTGATTCTTAATTCAACAATCGCCAGGATAGTGTTAGGATCTCTCACTAACATACAAGTACCACACTCCAGCATGATGGCAACAACCCTCATGAATATACAAGTACTGAATCTCAAACGCATATAAAGACTGTCAGGAACATACAAGTGCTGAGCCTCATAAACATACAGGCACAGATCTTCACCAATACCTAAGTACATCCTCACCAGTATACTGTTAGGATACCCTCAATAAAGTACAAGTACCAGTCACAAGCATATAGTAATAACCCTCATAACCACACACAAATTCTAAACCTCATAAGCATACATACAGACCATAAGAAACATACACGGATCTTCACCAACATACAGGTACATCCACAGCATCATCCAGGCACAGATCTTGAACAACATACAAGTACACCCCCACCAAAATTATGGTACACTACCAATATCTAAAGCTCTTACCTGTCTCTTGTAACGCTCAATCTGTTCTCTTGCTAGTGGCTCTAATTCAATTCCATCAGCTCCATAGATTTCTGTAGCAATTTTTTCAATCTTGGCTTCAATGCTTTCCTGGCAAATAATGAAACAAACTATAATCCAGCAAGAAACAGTTTCTTCTTCTTTAGTATTCCGAGCCCCTGAGGTTCAGTGTTGCAAATATCACCTGCCTCCATTCATCTCTCTGGTATGTTTTCTCTTTCCAGCTGCTGACAACAGGTGTTTATATGTCTGCCTGGATATGATCTATCCGTGCCCTCATGGTCTGTCTCATGGTCTATGACCATTTAACTCCCTTGTGTACACAGTTTTTACCTCTCTGTCATCAGACATTCTCTCAATATGCCGCAGCCATTACAGTCTTATCAGCCCTTATGATGCCAGTGCCATGCCCCAAAAAAACTTATTTACTTTCATTATGTCCGTACAACATTAGGACCGTACAACAAGCGACCAACAATCGGTGAAATAAAATGTCACCATACAGATGAGGATCACCGGGCATGTCCCAGAAACCCCCTTCAACCATTAGGTGATATTAGGGCTCCTGACTACAGCCTGGGTGGGGCTTTAAAATAATGGAGAAAAAAAATTGACTACAACATAGCGACGGGAATTATAATTCAAAGCAATCACAGAACAGCTATGTCTACTCTACACCACACACTAATAACATAAATAAGCTGGCAAAATATCTCCAGGATGTTATTACAAACAGTAAAATTTTATCTATAACAAAAATTTTTTCTAATAAAGACAGAACATGAAAAATTATAAATAGTTAAATATAAAACTATAAGACAAAGAAAAAAATACCAGACAGGCGGACCTGGGATCTAATCTCTGCAAATTAGGTATTTAAAAAATATACTGATGGCTTTTATTTTATTAGTAATTTATACGTTTTGAATGGACAGGTTTCAATAAACACATACTAAACATACCTTCACATCATACAAGAATCTGAAATTGCTGGGCTGCTGAGTAGCACGCACAACCGCTTCTGCCAAAGCAACAGCACCCTGTCCTCCTTGTGCCCAGTGGTTGCTAACAACAGCATCAAATGCACCATTCTCCCGAGAAATTTGCTGCACAAGCTCTATTTCAGCATTAGTATCCTTCCTGCAAACAACATTCGTTAACCATTTTAAAAGTCATTGGCATAATGTTTCACATTTACTGACTGGTACAAAGAGATCAAATCAAAAGGTTTGCCCACTTGAAAAGAACGCCTTCTGATGATATACCATACAAGGCATATACCAAAAAAGCAAGAGGTAGATGAAGAACATGTAAAAAGATAACATCATAGAAAATCAACAGCACCAAAATGTGCCTATGGTCGAAGCAGCCAGAAGAGCACGAAGCAGTACCTTATATCTCCCTCAACACCCGAAGCGGTACAAGAGGACGTAAAGAAGATGAAGAAGAATGACTGGTAGCACAATTTATCAATAAACAGCACAAGGCATTTTTTGTTAAGTAAAGTACATAACAAGCAAAGGACCCTTTTCCATATGTATTTGACATATTGGGTTACACCAATCGGCACTCAGTGGGTGACACGGTCAACATCATGCCGATCACCTTTACTTCCAAGGACTTTGCCGGGTACCCATTTAAGGCTGGGTCGAAATGGGAGCCAAAGTCAAGACTCCATTAGGACCAGAACTCCCGACCTTCGGATCCACAGGTGAGCATCTAGCCGCTACACCATGGCAGCCCCTTATTTTCTGTGCTGAGATGCAAACAGATCATCACAGTCTGAAGAGAACAGTGCAAAAATGAGAGATCGGCCAATCAAGTCAACACACAAGGGAAAGGCGAGACTGACATTCAATCAGACTACCACTGGAACTGGAACTCTGTGCTTTTCCTAACTCAGCTAAAATGCTATGTATAATAACATTCACCATCTTACACAGACACTGGCATCTTTTAATAAATAATGTAGGTAAACAAACTTACCAATGTATATGTAGTACATCAGGTCTATTATATATGCGGAAAATTTATGTAAAAAGACAAGTAAAGGACCTTTTTTTCCACACCCTCATGTGTTTTGGGCATACAGGGCTAAACCTATATTTTGAAGAAAATTATGTGCTGCTTGTTAACTCTTTCAGTTCCAGTGGGTTTAGCATCAGAGACCCAAGGGATAGCTAAAAGAGACAACATCAGCACATCTTCACTGGGTTTCTAGGTAGGAACCTATGTACATATGATGCATTCCTTAGGACTGAAAGAGTTAACCTTTTCACCCTGGGAACTCTTAAGTAAAAAATAGGTCAAGAGTCCATACGATTCACGAAAAAAAAGTGTAAAAACAAAAACTTTTGCACAGGTCACTAAAAATTTGCTAAATTTTAGAAATTTGAAAATTATTTGTTTCAAAACATATACAGATATACGAAAGTAATCAATAAATACAAATATGGTGAAGCATTAAATGAAATACATCCCCAAGGGTCAAAAAAACATACAACCAACATAAATGCTATTTTTAATTAATGTATTCATATCCTGACCTCCTAAATATTTTTGCAGATGCGAACTCAACCAATACCATTCTCCTTTTTTCTTTTGTCAATATCTGCTTATGCCGATAGGCGTCGCAGTTCATAAAATGATCGGCAGCCAAGCCAGGGCGCGCTCAGTCGCTTGATATGCCGTGATGCTATGCAGTCTCAAGGTGTCAGCGACTCCTTCAATCTATGTTCTTTCCCTGCCTCTTGATGTTTCGATTTTCAGGTTGTATGCTTTTGCTGCTGGCAAGGTTGGTTTCATTTTCATTAGATGGCCAAACCATTTCATTTTTTGTTGTGGATTTCCTAATGTCGTATACAGTTTCTAGAGCAGTTTTTTTGTGTGTGTGTGAACTTTTTAAATCCACAGCTGATTTGCTGGACTTGCCACAGTTCCATCCTTAAAAAAACACTGAATTACACATAAAACTCATTGAGAACACTGAAAAATGCTACATCCGTTAAATAACACACACTACCAGTACTATTAACTATACATATTGTAAACTGGTTACTATAGGCAAGTCGCAAGAGTGTTGGTGGGGGAAGGGGGGTGTTGGCCATGCAAACTGATTCTCTTATTTCAACATTACACCTTGTGCTTATTTTGAAGATGAAGAACATGTAGTTTTTCTGAGTAGCGGCCAGCTAAGTGGTTAAAGTGCTTGACTCTCATGCAGGGGACCCGAGTTTAATCATCAGCAATGGACCAAGAATTTTTTTCTGTTTTAAAAAAAAAGGGGGGGGGGGTGGGAATCCTAACCTCCAGTATGTGACAACTGCACTAGAGTGCCGTAGCTTTAAATCCTTGGCCTTCCCTTCTCCGATCATATGCAGACCTAAAACTGTTAGATACAAGCAGCAAAGATAGTTTTTTTCTTTCTAAAAGTAAATGACGCAACTTACGAAAAAGCATTGATCACTACAACCACTGGCACCCCGAATATGTTGGCATTTTGAATTTGCTTGATTAGATTGCTGCAGCCCTGCTCCACCAAGGTCAAATTCTGGGGGACAAAAATGTCAAACACACACAAATGTCAAATGTTTTATTTTATCAATCTCCCAGACCCCAACAACATGGATTTGCCACTCAAAAACTTAATTTATTTGCTGTAACATCACCAGATGATTACTGAAGCAAAGTTAATGTCTCGGGATAATTTCATACACAATAACAAATATATTTAACCCCTTTTTGGGAACCACTTTGGTGTAGCTGCTAGACATTCACCTGCAGATACAAAGTCCATGGGTTCAAGTCCTCCAGAGATCCATATTTGTTCAGAGATGATCTTGGCTTCCAATAAAAATAGGTACATGCAGATTAAGTCCTGGAAAGTGTTTATAAAAAGAACACAAGCCTAGCATCATATTCCAAATGTGCCACCGTCATATAAAGGAACCTTTATTTGACATATTCAATGTTTAAAATAACTATCCTCAATTATTGCTTTGGCTAGATACTAGCCTGCGGATGGGAAGGTCGTGGATTCGCTCCCTGGCGGAGCCTAATTTTTGTCAAAAAATGACCTTGGCTCCCAGGTTGACCCAGCCTTGAGTGGGTGCCGGGTGCAGTCCCGGGAAGTAAAGGTAGCATGATGCTGACCACATCACCCATCTTGTGCCGATTGGTCTATAAAATATAGGTCTAGCCCTATATGCCTAAATGCATGAAAAAGGGTCCTTTACTTTACTTTTACAATTATTGCTTGGATGAACATTTATTTCCATGCTTGAAAAACTAAATAAAGGCAGATAACTTCACAGTGATGTGAACTGTTAGGCCATACATTCTTGACCACAGTGATGTGAACTGTTAGGCCATACATTCTTGACCACAGTGTGAGGCAGAGTGGTCAGTTCCCTTCCAAGCCCTTTCTCTCCTAGAAAATTATTAACACTGTAACCATTTAGGAATCTAATGAACATTGTTCAGTAACCTTTTAGGAATCTAATGAACACTGTTAAGTAACCTTTTAGGAATGTAATGAACATTGTTTAGTAACCCTTTATAAATCTAATAAACACTGTCTGGTAACGCTGTAGCAATCTAATGAACACCATCTGGTAAATCTGTAGCAATCTAATAAACACCATCTGGTAACACTTTAGGAATCTAATTAACACCATCAAGTAATCCTTTAGGAACATAATGAACACCATCCAGTAACCATTTAGGAATTTAATGAACACCATTTAGTAACCCTTTAGGAATCAAATGAACACCATCCAATAACCCTTTGGGAATCTAATTAACACCATCTACTAGTAAAGCTTTCGGAATCTAATGAACACCATCTAGTAACACTTTAGGAATCTAATGAACACCAGTAACCCTTTGGGAATCTAATGAACACCAGTAACACTTTAGGAATCTAATGAACACCATCCAATAACCCTTTAGGAATCTAATTAACACCATCAAGTAAAGCTTTAGGAATCTAATGAACACCATCTAGTAACACTTTAGGAATCTAATGAACACCATCTAGTAACACTTTAGGAATCTAATGAACACCAGTAACACTTTAGGAATCTAATGAACACCATCTAGTAACCCTTTAGGAATCTAATGAACACCATCTAGTAACCCTTTAGGAATCTAATGAACACCATCAAGTAAAGCTTTAGGAGTCTAATGAACACCATCTAGTAACACTTTAGGAGTCTAATGAACACCATCTAGTAACCCTTTATGAATCTAATGAGCACCATCTAGTAACCCTTTATGAATCTAATGAACACCATCTAGTAACCCTTTATGAATCTAATGAGCACCATCTAGTAACCCTTTATGAATCTAATGAACACCATCTAGTAACCCTTTATGAATCTAATGAACACCATCTAGTAACCCTTTATGAATCTAATGAGCACCATCTAGTAACCCTTTGGGAATCTAATGAGCATTGCCTAGTAACCCTAGGAATCTAATGAGCTTTGTCTAGTAACCCTTTAGGAATCCAACATTTCTGCTGTTAGTGTATATTGTCTGTATATTGTCTGTATCCTCTCCATATTGCTGTTGTTACATAAGGCATTCACAAGAGATCTCCAGTGCTGCTGGTCTTCTGTATCCCATGTCTGTTTTCATTCCTCCATTCCCATTTCTACTGTTCTCCTCCAGGTTTCCTTAGGTCATCCTCATCTGCCCTTTTAGTGCATATTGTTAAATAAATGTTAGTCGGGTAACATTTCAAAGAACATTGCAGAATCAACCTCACCATTTCTTTGCTGTTTGGATTTACTAGGCAATTCAATGTTCAGTAGTTTGCCATTGCTTGCTCAATGGTCAGCTCCCAATACCAGTGTTAAATTCAAACTGGAAAAGAGATATTTGGGTGTCTAAGCAGTGGGAGCTAACTGGTAGGTGACAGCATTTGCCTTCTGTACTCTGGTTTTTATCTCTCTATCGAGTGCCATCCTCGATAAATATGCTTCCTAGATATTTGAATTCTTGTACTTGTTTGACTGTAGTACCATTAACATGAACGTTCATGACATTATGTTTCTTGCCTATTCTCATTACCTCAGTCTTCCCTGTGTTTACTGTATACTGTAACCCTAAAATGAAATGTTAATAAATAAACATGCAAAAACAGAAGTTAGCCTTTGTGGCCAGGTTTTCTGAGCCAGCAATGGCTGCTGATACAAGTGTTTAATTTGTAAGAAAACGAATGCTACTATATACAACATTATATCTTTATGATAATGTGCAATTTTGGCATTTTCATCTCACTGTCTTTTCAGGGCTGTTATTTGTCACTTTATAATATACAAACGGCACACACATGAATTTAATTAGATCCTGTACTGGCCAGATTGCCTCACTACATATAATAATAAAGTATAGCAACAAAATAAATTCACCACTTCATATTGGATTCACAGACTATAAAACAGGCTTAACAACACTGATAGGGAATCTCTGGAAAATTATGAGGCACTATGGGATCCCACAAAAAATTTATTCACTTCATAAAGGCAACATATAGAGACATGAAATGTCAAGTTTGTCATGAGTGAAAATTAACAGATACATTTGAAATAAGACCAGGTGTGCGACAGGGATGTCTTTTGTCACCTTCAATATTTTTACTGGCACTAGACTGGATTATGAAGACAGAAACAGCTAACACCAGGAATGGAATTTAGTGGACCCCCTACAACACAGCTGGTAATGTATAATGTAATATATTCATATCCTGACCTCCTAAACTTTAGTGCAGGCATGAACATAGCTAATAGCATTAACTATGCATCTTGTAAACACATCCCTCTAGACAAGTCAGTTTGGGCCTTTCTCTGGGAATAGTCGTAAGTGTCAATCAACTGTGTTTCTTATTGGGGTGACAGGGTTAACACTTAGGGTATTTTGGTATGGTCATGTAAGGATGTTTGCTACACCAGTGATGGCTCACCTCTTCTGAGTATTCCTTCGGCAAAGGTACTCCAGCAACGACTGCCGGGCCTCCTCCGTGCATCTTGAGAGCCCGGATAGTTGCTACCAAAACTGCAGCATTTGGAATAAGTCCAGAATAACGGCATTTGATGTCGAAGAATTTCTCCATGCCGATGTCAGCACCAAAGCCCGCTTCTGTGACTGTGAGATCAATCAGTTCAATATGTGAGCAGAAGAATCAACAGCAACAACAACAATGACATATCCTGATGATTTTACAAAAATATATTCATTGCACGGACATTTCCTATGGTGAGAAAAGAAAAGGCAGACAGATTGGCTGATTCTGCTCCATGTGCTGATGTCTGACAAGCTAGGGGGAAATCCCTTTGGGAGCAAGTGAGCAGATTGGAAGCACAAATAGGTCATCAAGGTCTGAAACTTAATGTGCAGTGGGGAGTGGCCAGGGAATCTGGTCAACACTCTGAGAAAAGGCAAAAATGACTTAAAATCAGATGGTTTCCTGGCACTATATGGATTGGAACACAGTGCAGGCTGCTGAAGATGGGGATGAAATACTTATGGGAATGTCCCAAGCGCTGTAATGACTGTATTTAACTCAACTGCCATGTCCTAAGCGAGAAAAGATATTTTACTACCATTACCACAAACTTCCATGTGCCAAAGACTAAGATCTCTCGGAAACTGTCTGATAACCAGAAAATGTGACAATCAATTAGGTGTCTGATAACTACACAATTTTTCATTCTCAATCAATCAGCTAGGTGCTACCTACGAATGAAGCTAAGTGCAATGGATGCCAACATTTTCTCTCTTTTGCTGATTGTGCACTCTCAGAGACATCTGTTCATCTGTCACTTGGTATATCATCCTACCACTTGCATTACTTACTTTTCCTCAGTTGCTTTTAACATTTTCCATCAGTGTGGATACATAAAAAATGCTAAGTTTTTAATGTGGATGTAATATTTAATTTGTCTCTCTTTTTTTTTTAATTTTAAATTTTTTTTTTAGCAACTCTTTTCATTCCAAGTTTTGCCAGAACCTCTGTGGCAGTTACTTTAACTTATGCCCTTACCATTTTCTTTGTTCATCCTTAAAAGCAACTAGGATTGCTTGAAGGAAGCTAATGAAAGCAGATCAATGTATACAGTTATAAGGAAAAGACAAGCACTGTTCTTTGGTCATGTGATGGGGGGGGGGGGGGGGGGGGGGGAGGCCATGGTGGAGAATGCTGTAACAACTGGGAAGATCAACGGTAGAAGAGGGAGAGGCAGACCAAGAGAGATGATGACGGATGGACTCCGACGGAGGCATGGAGGAATATCAATGGTGGAACTGATACAAAGAGCAAGGGACAGAGATCTGTGGAAATGCATGAATGTTGATGCCAGTAGGCAGGGCAGGTGGTGATGATCCTTGAAAGGATGGTTAGTGGCACATTGTTGTTTCAAGCCACAAGGTGTCTAGAAATTATTTGTAAACAGTTAAGCATGGTTTCAGAGTTTGGCTCATGATGGATTCGCACCTAAAAAGGTGCTCTTTGAGTCAATGAGTCAGGCAGTAATCCGAAAGGAAAACTAAAGTTATAAAAAAAAATGATGTGAGATTATCATTTAAATGCATCATGTAACAGGCCAAATTGTGTGTGTGTGTGTGCGCGTGCGTCCGTGTATGTGTGTCTGTGTGTGTGACTGTTTGCAAAAGTGAAATTAAGCACATCTTACCTACATAACCATCCTCTCCCACCAATTTCAGGGCTATTTTATCTGCCAGGATGGAAGAGTTGCCATGGGCAATATTTGCAAATGGTCCTGCATGGACAAAAACTGGCGTGCCCTACATATGGAACACAAATGTTTTTTTTTAAAAAAAGATTATAACAAAAACATAAAAACCATGCTGGTCCTTACAGTCATAAAAAAAAACCAGAACTTTCCGCCAGAGTTTACAGCTGGTGAACGCGAAGAAGAAGTAGTAGTAAGGGTCTAAATTTGACACTGCTAGCATAGAGTTGCCCCCTCCCTTCCCCCAAAAGAGTTATTAGATTTGCCTTGGTAGACAAAGGTATACATCTTTGCATCAAAAGTGTTGACTAGGACCTAGTTTGCCTTAGCACATCATCTGTTGATTTCTCTATCCGTTGTTAATTCAATATGATGACAATATGTTACATGACAAGATTAATATTTGTGCTAGCATGTGCTGCTTTATCCTTCCGTCTCACCAAATAGCACAAATCTTCAAAATTTTATACTAAATTGTTGTCTTCTTCTGTGTCTTTTCTTGTCCTTTTCATGTCTTTCTCACACTGTTAATCTCTGGTGAAACCCACCAGTTCAACATTTCTTTAAGCTGCCTACAGCAAACCTACTAAAGCAAAATATCAAGTATGCAATGAAAAAACATACACTTAATGGCTTGCTATAGGATATATTCAGAAATGTGTTTGGATATATCACTGTTCAATGTATTAACAAATAGATTTCATTATATACCAGGTAAAGAAACAGATGCTCCATTTCCCAGGTCAAATGTCACATGGTGTAGATCAGTGGTCAACAGATCGCGGCTCTTTAGCAACCTGAGTGCTGCCCGGCCAGTCGGCCACAAATTGGTTTTAGCTCCGAAAAACATGGTTCTTGACAAACAAAATTTGGCTCTCGAAAAACATTTTAATCGTCCTGCTGCTGATTTTAGGTTCTTCTGACTAATAAGTTTGCCAGCCACTGGTGTAGATGGCTGTTCCAGTGGCACACTGGTTGTAGGCAGCTGGTCTAGGAGGGAAGTCTGATAGATGGAGAGAGCACTGCTCTACTGATCTAACAAATTCTGCAGCATGCTTTGTTCCAAATGTATTGGTGTTACATTTCCTCTGGAGTAAACAAGGCAGGGCAAATGTTGCATGAGGAACACCATAATATTGCCAAGGCTCTGTGCTACAGAGATCCTTGATGTACAAACCACTTGGCCGTCGTTTGCTCTTAGACAGCAACAACAATTATATGCTATGCGTATGTCAATGAACAAATCCCACAAACAACAATTTAACATACCTCAAGAGTCTGCATTAGACTTGGCATAATTGCATCTTTCATAAGGACTGTCAATGCTCCTCCAACACCCTTTAACAAAAATAAATTCAAGTAAGTTTTTACTTTGTATTTAAAAAAAAAAAAAAAACTGTACATACTACTTTAAATATTTACGATAACAGTAAACATACAAGGGTAGCCAACAAAGATTTGTACGAATATTTTTCAATATTAAGTCCTAGATATCTGTTAGTTTAGACTGTACTATTTCACTGTTGGCACTTTGCATCTTCCCAGATGATAGCATTATATAGGAGTGCTACAGGGAGGAGGCATGGAAATCTCAGCCTCTGGTGATGGTGAGTGTGACTAGCAAGACCCGCTGTCATTAAGAAGAATCAAAATAAGTGCACAACATGTCAGGACCACTGCTGTCAACACAGCTAATTGACAAGTCTTTTCTCAGATGCCCAGCTCTTAACCTGTCCGCAACTCTTTTCTCCTTTGTCCCCAACCCTTTCCCCCTTTGTCCGCAACCCTTCTCCCCTTTGTCCGCAACCCTTTTCCCCTTTGTCCTCAACCCTTCTTCCCTTTGTCCGCAACCCTTCTCCCCTTTGTCCGCAACCCTTCTCCCCTTTGTCCGCAACTCTTTTCCCCTTTGTAACCCTTATCTCCTTTGTCCACAACCTTTTCTCCTTTGTCGGCAACCCTTATTTCCTTTGCGGCAACTCTTTTCTCCTTTGTCTGCAACCCTTATCCCTTTTGCCCGCAACTCTTTTCTCCTTTGTTTGCAACCCTTATCCCCTTTGCCCAAAACTCTTTTCTTCTTTGTTTGCAACCCTTAACCCCTTTGCCCAAAACTCTTTTCCCTTTTTCCGCAACCCTTATCCCCTTTGCCCGCAACCCTTATCCCCTTTGCCCGCAACTCTTTTCCTCTGTCTGCAACCATTCTTCTCCCCTTTGTCCGCAACCCTTCTCCCCTTTGTCAGCAACTCTTCTCTCCTTTGTTTGCAACCCTTATCCCCTTTGCACGCAACTCTTTTCTTCTTTGTATGCAACCCTTCTCCCCTTTGTCCGCAATCATTATCCCCTTTTTCCACAAACTTTTCCCTTTGTCCTTTTTCCCTTCTGGTTCCATCCATGAAGAATTATCCATGGCATCCTGTTTCCATGAATCCATTCTCAAAACCTGTATCATTCATGCCAGCTTGCACAAATCTTTAAATCACAACAGAGGTAGACCTCTACTATATCTACCCTTCTGTAATTCACCATAAAGCAGGGCTATTCAACTCAACTGGTGGCCAGTGAATCAAATCTGGCCCAGGGAAGCCTAGCAAGTGGCCCACAGATCAGTGCGAGTTGTATTGTATCAATGATCTATTAATGATGTTTCCATGCTGGGGCGCAGGCCTCTGGCCTGTGACGATCATTTTTTTCAGGATTTTGGCCCGTGTAAAAACTTAGTTGAATAGCCCTGCCACTGAGGATGTCCATAGTGACTCCATCATCCTCCGTACTTTATAAAAATATGTTAAATACATGTTTGGGTCTACTGGAAAAGAGGGTTGAGGATAAAATCAGAATTTCTAACACAAAAAACTTGCAACCAGGTCTAGTTTTTTTTTTTTTAAATCTTTATCCAAGACCATGTGTCTGACTGCAACGTTTTGAGCCCATAGTAGACACAACCTCTCAGACACAACTTCCCTGCCATTTCTGATACACAGAAAACAAGAAATGATTCATTTCAGAGGCAAATTTTAAAGAATAATATAAACTGTTACTCAAACTGTTAATCAAAATGACTAATTCTTTTCTATACAGTAGTGGCCAAACGTTTAAGGCTGCCTAGTAACTAACCAAATTTTCACACTATTAGAGAGTGTATTGCATCCACTGCTAATTTTAGGGTCACATGACTGCAATGGTTAGTTAGCCCTAAAATAGCAGTGGATGTAATAATCCACAACAGTATGGAAAATCAATTATTTAATAGGTGGTCATAAACTTTTGGTCACCACTGTAGATCAACATGTTCACAAGAAAAATCAAGTTTGCTATTACCAAGTCATCTGCAGTGATAGGGTCTCCACTCTTGCTACTTGCCACAACCATTCTACCAAGCCTCTCTCGCATGTCATGAAGACTCGTTGTCAGAGCCAGCACAGCCATGATCTCACTGGCTACAGTTATGTCAAACTGTGTCTGCAGGTTGCGAAAACGAATGTACATATTATAACTATGAGAATATAGGATAAACAATGGCAATAAGTTTAGTTTAGTCTACGGATCAACATCATGGCACACGGGTGTAACCCATGAGTGCTCTGTTTTACTTCTAACTCAAGCCTGAGTTAGAAGTATTTCAGCGCAGTGCACGAGCTCCGTTGCACCCGTGAGGATCCTGAAATACTTTGGGTAGATTTTTAACTCCACATTTTGCCCTGGCAGCACCGTTAGGCTACTCTTGTCAATTTCCAACTGCCAAGGGATTTTTTATGTGCGTAACAATACACACAGGCATCTAATCTTACTACCCAGAGACCAGGTGAAATTACTGGAGGTCCACGTGAAAAAATCCCAGCCTTCACCAGAGTTTGAACCCGGGACCTCCAGCACTCGAGGCGGCTGCCATATCTCCAGACTACGCAGTCCCCCACAATATTTCATAATTCATGACAATATTTAAAACAATCATGAAAATTATTATCACAATGTGCATTACAGATGTCAGGGTGGTTCATATCTCTCTATAGTAGGAGCAGTAATTTTAACACCAACATCCTGTTCAACTCATCTGGGTCATTTAACTGGGATATATAGTTATTTTTATTTCAATATTGCATTTTTATGCTCGGCAATTACTTTTTTAAAATTTAATATTGCATAGATTATGCATTAACTGTAACAGATTATAGAAACATCAGTATTTTAAATATAAATATATATATATATAATAACTGTGATAATCATACTGTGTAATTTATCAATGGAAATATTTAAAGTGAGCAGGAATACCACAAATTTGTCTAATGAAACTTCTTACAGCCTATGCGCTGGTAGTCATATATATCCCACAACCTTCTGTCTCATGTACTTTCAATCAATTCAGACACAGAATTGCCATGCTATGATGTCAAACTGTCCAATATCTTCTCTCTCTGTCTCCCTCTGCCTCATTTCCCTTCCAACTTTCGCTCCCGTCATGATGGACTCAGTTTTCTCCTTCTCACAACATGACAAAATAAAGACTGCCTTCTGGTGTGGGCAATCAGTTTTGTCTGATGAAAACAGCTCATATGAAAATGTATGTCTCTGTACATAGATTTTGTACTTCACGGTTCTAGAGCAGTATTACAAATATTCCTTCAGCCCAATGGCTTAGACTGTGTAGCATCTTTCTCTAGATCTTCTTCTCTCTCTCTCTTCTATAAGAGGGCTTCAAATGGAAACCTCAAAAGTATGATAGAAATTACAGTAGTCATGCCACTGTCTTGTAACCTGTCGATATTGTTGTTAAGGATGTCAAGAAAGTTAATGCATTTAACTTTCGTTCCACGTATTTAGCAGTTACAAATGAACAGAAATGTTAACTGCCTTTAAAAATACTACATTCTTCTAAAAACATAAAGGCGGCTGGCGTGATGTTGAATACATCACCAATCCAGGGTTAATTGGTCTTTAAAGAATACAGGTCTAGCCCTATATGCCCTGTGTGTTAATGATTTAAAAAGTGTCCTCACTTTTACTACTCCTAAAGACACTGTACAAGTGTGTGTTAACAAAAAAATAAATAAATACCTGTCTCTCGTGCCCTTTTTCTTGAGGTCCTTCTCCAACGGTGATCTTTCGCAGGAATCGATCATTTGTGTCTAAAACTGAGTAGACAACATGTATTGTTAGTCAGCACTGAATTAAATTTAAAAAATTTTTAAAGTACAATTTTAGAACACCCACCTTTCATACAGCAGTTGTATTTTATCAATAAAGCATGTTATGTTTATATGATAACATTCATAATCAATACTGCAAGGGAAAAATAATAGTTGACTGTGATAATCTTTCAATGTACAAATAAGAACTCTCACTAACATTTCTATTTTCAGCAGCAGAATGTTGAAGTTTCTTCAGAACACTTACCTCTGTTCCAGGTGATTGTGCTTTTGTCAATGTCCAAGCGGGCAAACTGCCTGATCTCATCATCAGTAAAGTCTGCTGGATTGGTCTTTGTGATCCCCAGTTTCTGTTCAAATATATATAAACAACACGCAGTTAGCAAAACAACTGCTTTTTTTTTTTTTAAATAATTACTTACAAATGCAGTTTTGATTATTAACAATATATATATATATATATATATATATATAGACAAGATGTAGTAAGCAGAACCAGTGTTGCAGCTGTTTTCTTGAACCACATTGATCTATGCATCACCTAGAGTGATCAGTTTTGGTGATTAGCTAGAATCATCTCTGTTCATTACACAAACCCTCAACTGTTTTGTCTTTCTCCTTAGGTGAATTACAGAAGAGCTCCTGTAGTGCACGATTTATGAATATGCCTATCTAGTCCCCATCTGTGATTATAGCAAATAGCCTAATACTGTTACAAGTTAGAATCGAGACGATATTATGTAAGTCAAGCTCTCTGTCAGGCTAGAAGACTGCAATGCACAAAACATGAGCTCTGTAGCTCCAGCATCGATCCACATAAGGATCTCAGGAAGAAACTGCACTCAAGAACTGAACTAGGTGTATATGAAACAAACCCACTAGCTTATGAGTGCGAAGCAAACAGCTTGACTATTTCGCCAGGGACTCCCACCTGCCACTGTTGCAAGTGATGAGGTCAAATGTAAAATCACCTAAATCAGTTGAGGAATTTGAGTAATTAAATAAATGTTGCTGATTTACTGATTTAAGAATCAACATCACAGCCCACCACGCATATCCATAGATGTTCCGTCTCCCAAGCAAATGTCTAAAGGTGTAGATGCTAACTGTTCCCATAGCACACCGACCCTAGGCACATCATTTTGTTGCTGATGCGGCATCTGTGGCTTAGGCGTTGCGAGTCCGACTCGTAATCCAGCGTACCGCGATCGAAACCCATTGCTGGCTGCGTGGATTTGTATCATGGCATGGGGCGTCACAGGTCGACCCAGCCTAAAATGGGTACCAGGATGGGCTGTCCTGGGAAAGTAAAGACAGCCGGCGTAATGCTGACCACATTACCCACCGAGTGCTGATGGTCTGTAAAAATATGGGCGCTCTTCCCATATGCCCGATACGCCTAAAGGCGTGGAAAGGGATCTTTACTTTTTTTTTACTTCTGTTGCTGATAGAAGCCAAAGTTTTTGGAATGGAGGCCAGCCATGACCTCAAAAAGGATTGCACAAGACAGAAGCAAAAAGAGGACTAGACTGTCAGCCCTATGTGACACATAATGGCACAGTACGAAGATGATGGCAGTCACCCAGTATTAAATACGTAATATTGGCTACCTCCTCCCAAAGAAAATCAAAATTATAAAATCCAATCAATTTAAAAGCTGCACATATTCTGAGCTATAATTATGATAACCTCTTTATGCTATAGATAGATAATTAATCAATCGATTGCTGTCTCCAGAATGAAATTTGGCAGCAATAGATCTCCAATGCTGTCTCTCACCTTGATTGTAAACTCTCTCAGACTGCTGTCTATACTGCTAATCTCTTCCTAGCCTGCCTTCAGCATTTCCCTCCAGTATGGTTTTAATTGAGTGTAACGTATTTTCATGTGGCCAAAATACTTAACTTACCTATGTTGTATTTTTTACTACTCTTGTTTCATTCCCAGTCTTTCCAAAAACCTCTTTATTTCGGCTCTGTTAGATCTAGCATGCTTAACCAAGTACATTCAAAATGAAGATTACTTTTGTTTTCTTTTTGAGACTACCAAACAATGACGACAAAATGAAATCTTTACACACATTTAGTCGTCTTATCTGAATAGGACAGAATTCTTGAACGCCTTTGTTAGTAGCAACCAATCTCTTAAAAAGGGCCTTGTCACTCTGGGTTGCCTCATGAAACATCCGAGCCTCCAAAGCAGCAGCGAGGAGATTGTTGGCAGCGGTGATAGCATGTAAATCTCCAGTCAGATGAAGATTGAATTCTTCCATGGGGATGACTTGAGAGTAGCCTCCCCCTGCTGCTCCACCTGAAAAAAATTATTATGATTAATTTTTTTTTAATGGAATTCACAAAATCCAGCCACCTTACTGAGGATTCAAACTTTGGTTTACTAAGTAAGAGTGCAGCATTTCTAGCCACTCCTCTAATAAAGTTGTTGAGCAATGATGTAACTTCTTTACTATAAGGAAATTAAAATACCCCTCGAAACCTTATAGCACCAACACCCCCCCCCCCCCCCCCCCCCCCCCCCCCAGGTTGGAGACCACTGGTCTAAATTTATAGATAGTCAACAGATCAACTTCACTGCACATCAAACCATTCAGCCCATAAGTGTCTGGATTCCCTCTGAAATATATCCTTCAGCATGCACCGCCTCATAACACTTGTTCTATAGCTGTTTACTATTCCAGTCTAGCAACCTTTCTGGTGCAATCGTCTTAATTCATTCCATTTAGACTTGCAATCAGTGGTTATTACTGTCCCAGTACCTGATTTATTTTTGGACATCCTATGTCGACTTATCTATCCATTCTTCCTTCTTATGGAAAACTTGACCCAAGATATTTAAATTCAGTCATCACTTGATTCATTTTATATTTATATCCTGTCTCTCTGAAGGTAATAGTATATCAGGCCAGTCCACTGCCTGTCTGCTGTTTTCTGAATGTATAAACTGTAAATCTAAAAGTCACTTACCTTTGATGCCAAATGTAGGTCCTTGCGAGGGTTGCCTAACACAGGCAAACACATTCTTTTTCAGTTGTGCACCAAGAGCCTGGGTAAGTCCGACTACTGTTGTGCTTTTACCTTCACCCAAAGGTGTTGGGGTAATGCTAAATGATGAGATAAGAAGAGCTAGTTACTATGGGGGCCAACAAAGAAAGCAGTTTTTTTTTCTTCTTCTTCACATTTACCAGCTGTAAACTTCAGTTGAAAGTTCTGCTTCTTCGTTCACTTCTGGACTTCGGGGTTGTTGCAAAAGTTACAGATCTGACATTTGTATGTAGACTGATTTCAGCAAACCATTAATTAGTCATCTTTCAGGACATTTGTGTAAAGTAGGTCTATTGTTTTCTCTCAAAATGGTGCCTCGGAACACATACATGGAGACAGGCTATCTTATCCTACTGACAATTTTAGCGCAAAATTAGACCATTCATGAACAAGTCTACGAAGTGATCTATCGAGCGATGAAAAAAGAAGAAACAATACTAAAAACGTCACGACACAGTAATTACAAAAAAATAAATATAAGCAATGTCCAGCATATAAGGCTAGAACTATATTTTATAGACCAATCGGCACTCGGTTGATAATGTGGTCAACATCACATCAGCTGCCTTTACTTCCCAGGGTTCTGCCTGTTACCTAATCAAGGCTGGGTTGACCTGGGAGCCAAGGTCATTTTTTAAAGAAAAGTCCAGCTCCATCAGGACCCAACCCACGACCTTCTGATCCGCAGGCAAGTGTGTAGCCGCTACATCATGGTGGCTCCCAACTGCGGAAGTATTAGAAGATAGGTTTATTAGAAGCACTATGAACATTAAGCTTCACAAACAAACAAAAAATGGGCAACATGTATCATTCACTCCTTCTCTAGTCTTGTTCTACCTTTCAGCATCAAGTTTTGTAGAGGCAATGGGTGCGAGAATTGATATATGCTATGCAGATGCTGGAATTTCCCCGCCTCAGATATTCTATCTATCCATTGTTTGTGTGGCTGTCCTCTAGGTCTGCTTCCATTGTGTCTAAGTGACAGGGCTCTGTATGGTGTGCTTTCTGGTGGTATTCTTGACAGATGACTGAAACATTTGATCTGTGGTCTCCTCATGTGGTTGAGTGCTGGTTCCATTCCAATTTGCTTTCTATCTGATGGCAGTCTTGACACATGTCCCAATCATCTGATCTGTTGTCTCTTGATGTGGACTAGTTTTGGTTCCCAACCAACTAGTATCCTGATATAGTCATTTCTTATTCATATAACATTAAAAAAATATCTAAATTGCTAACCTGCATATTTCATTATAAGCTTTTGTTTTTTATTAAAAATGTGAGACCTCTCAATCTTAAAACTGACTGATAATGTGGAAGAGAGAGGAGAAGAGAGACAATGTGAAAAAGAGAGAGACAGAGAGACAGAGAGAGAGAGAGAGAGAGAGAGAGAGAGAGAGAGAGAGAGAGACTGAGAGAGAGAGAGAGAGAGAGAGAGAGAGAGAGAGAGAGAGAGACAGACAGACAGAGAGACAGACAGACAGAGACAGAGAGGAGAGAGAGAGAGACAGACAGACAGACAGACAGACAGACAGACAGACAGACAGACAGACAGACAGACAGACAGACAGACAGACAGACAGACAGAGACACAGAGAGAGATGCACAAGCAGAAGTGCAGACAGGGTCACAGGTAGAGAAGAAAAATAAACACACAGGTAAGCATAACACAATTTCCATACCCTGTGACAACAATGTACTTTCCATCCTTTTGAGACTGTAATCTCTGCAGAACTTTCAGTGAGATCTTGGCCTTTTTCTTGCCATACAGATCAACCTCATCTGTCAACAGACTGATTTCACTGGCTAGCACAGAAATGTCCTTTGGAACTTGAGATTTGGCAATTTCAATATCGCTGGAAACAAAAACAAAGTAACAAATGCGGTTTTAAGTCATTTTGAGAATATTTTAAAATAATTTTTTTCTTTGCTCGTCTTCTTCTATCCAAAGTGGACACTGTCAAGATGTGACACAAAAATGTATATACAATATGATCTGCCAACAAGATGTGTTAAACGACTAAAGAACAAAATCTTCCGCCATCTTTCATCTATCTGCTGTTTACTAGTGATAGATAGAATGATTTTATGTTATTGCCTCCTCTTTCTTTTTTATACTTTACACTGGATACACTTCAGTTTTTATCATTATTTAACTCAAATCATCAGCAACATCCACCACTATTAAAACATTTCTCTGCCAGTGTAGGTTCTGAGGCCCCATTTTATTGTTGTTAATGTAATAACAGAATAGACCCCCTGCCCCTTAACAGGTTGTTTGTTAGTTGAATGTCCTTTACAGGATGTTGCAGTACCAACCCCAGCATTTTTTTGGCTGCTGTGGTTTCCCTGGGCAAATTTTATGTTCAGTAGTTTGCCATTGTTTTCTGAACGGTCAGCTCATGGTACCACTGTCAAAACCAACGCAATACATTCTGCTGCCAAACTGCCTGCAGCTGGGATTGAACCTGGAATTACGAAGTGTGTTTGCAAAGCCTAAGCCACAGATGCTGACATATAGGTTATAATTTGCAAATTAAGGCTTGCTGAAATCATAAATTTTTATCTGAAATGTGTAGATAGCTGTAAACAACATTTTTAACCATGAAATAAGAAGATTTCTCTAATTCTACATTAACCTCCAACAAAATGCCAAGTTATTTTATGTACATCTTGGCATAAAATGACCAGAAGAGACTAACTTGGACAAGTGTCAACTGGGAAGAAATTTGCGAAAAGAGATAAAAGGAAGTGTTGCGTGTGATCAGTCAGAGGCATCACACACTTGCCAAGTATCTAGGGGATTTGTATATGTGTATATCCCACACTTTCCAAGTGTCTAGGGGATTTGTATATGTGTATATCCCACACTTTCCAAGTGTCTAGGGGATTTGTATATGTGTGTGTGTGTATATATATATATATGTATGTATATGTGTGTATGTGTGTGTGTATGTATTTATGTATGTATGTATATGTGTGTGTATGTATGTGTGTGTGTGTGTGTGTGCATGTGTGTGTGCGTGTGCATGTGTGTGTGCATGTGTGTGTGCGTGTCAGTCCTTCACATCTACACACAGATTCTCTCATTGCAGCACACTCTCAATGGCACGGCACATAGTGATGGTGATTATGACTGGAGTAAAGAACGACCAACCCAACAAAAGCAACACTATATACGCTAAGGCACAATTAGCCTGTCATATTGTACCCATTAACATTGTGCACGAGCACCGTAACACAACACACCACACCAAGTATGTCTTATAGTGCGATCAGTTTTTATTATAGACAAACATATTACGATGAAGATGAGTGGCAATCGATGGCACAATATCAGGTCTTCTACTGCCTTCCCAGTACTCACTCAGGCAGACTCTCCAGACATGAACAAACACCCCAGCAAACTATGTACCAGGTGCCTGCAACAGGCAACTCACACCCGATCACTCAAATACATCCTCTAAATGACGCCGCCACCTGAAGACTCAAGGTAGATGCACCACTATGTGAAAGACTCCAGAGACCCATCTGCTACCCCAGCCACTCCTTGAAGCATCACTGACCAACATCCCATTAATCAGCCTCCGATGTTTCCCCATCACGCTGTTAACACCCAAAAAGTCCCCCAATGTGCCAAACAGATGCAAATGTGCCGACCCAACCGTCCATTCTAGAAAATACTGACAACATTCCAAAGGTCCACTCATGATCCACCAATCACCCAGACAGTTCACAGGAGCTCCACAGAATAAAACATTGCTAAAACACAGTCCATGAATCCACTGGACTCGAACAACATGTTCACACTGACTAAAAGCAACTGACTCAAACTACCACCTCTTCCCACCTGCATTTAGTTTCATGTGGATCTCAGATTCTCACCAACACTCGGGTTCCCCATTCGTGCTGTCCGACCCACCCAAATCCTACACATCCATGATGTCCTCAAGTCCATCATAAACTTCCAGCGACATATGTTTTCCCCAGTAGCTCAAGCTCCACTATCTTCCAGTGATCCCAAATGTTTACATTCACAACTGTCAATGCCAAATCTGGATTTAAAATATTCCAATTCGGGGTGTAAAATAGGCCAAATCTGATATGAATAAGCCAAATCTGAAAACAGCCAAATCTGAATACAAAAAAGCCAAATCTGGATACAAATAAGCCAAATATGGACATAAATAAGCCAAATATGGATAAAAAAACAAATCTGGATACAAATAAGCCTAATCTGGATTTAAAATGAGCCAGATCTGGATACACATAAACTAAATCTGGATGGCGGTACCGATCGCGGGCGCAGCCATCTTGGAATGATAAAAACACCGGGGTGCAGTTTAATTTAAAAACTATTGTTAGGGACATCTGTCGGCAGACTACACGTCGCGAATTCGATGACTGCCGAAGTTGGTCACCAGGGGATACAACCGGAAATTCAACAATCGCTGAAGTTGGTCAGCAAAGTGTTATTTAACAAGAAATAAAATTGGAAAAGGGGTAGGGGGTGGGGAGAGAATGAAACGAGACAGTAAAAGAAAAGATGGAGAGAAAGACAAGAAGATGAAGATCAGAGGAGAGACAATGCAGGAGACGGGAAGGAGGGAGCAAGAGGTAGAAGAGTGAAAGAGGGAAGGAGGAAGAGAGAGAGGGGTGAGAGAACAGAAGATGGAGACTAGGGGGAATTACAATGTCACTTTGTTTAGCCCCACCATCTCCTAGTGTAATTTTTGCTTCTAGAAACAACATGTAGCTATTTATACTATTACCGCTAGAAACAAAGGCACACAACACAGCAGCTGCTCCTTCCCGCACATGCCATGCCGCTGCTGTTTGTGTGAATCCACAGGCTGCAATACAGCCCTGGCCTTTAACAAGCAATTTTAGCTAAAAATAGCCGATAATCAACTGCCCTCATACCTGAAAGGACCGTCATACCTGAAAGGACCGTAAACAAAAGTAGCCAAATGGCCAAAAAAAGCCTAACTGCCAAAAATTGCAGGAATTCCAACGATCTCATTGCGGCGGCCAAATTTCACAGCTTCTTAAGGTCAAAATTAGGGTTCCTAGCCAGGACTCAATTTTACAGTTAATTTATCTTTCACAGTCGGTCAAATATGGATTTAAAATAAGCCAAATCTAGATTTTTAAAAACCCCAAATTTAGATACAAAAGAGCCAAATCTGGATATAAACAGGAAAGATCTGGATATAAATATGAAAAATTTGAAAATAAATGAGCCAAATCTGGATGCAAAATTAGCCAAATCTGGATTTAGAAAAACGAGCCAGACCTGGACGTAAAATTAGCCAAATATGGATAAAAATAGGCCAAATCTAGATTTGAAATATGCCAAATCTGGATTTAAAATACGCCAAATCTGGATTTAAAATATGAAAAATCTAGAATTCATATAGGCTAAATCTGAATTTAAAATAGTCCAAATTTAGATTTAAAATAGGCCAAATTTAGATTTGAAATAGGCCAAATCTGGATTTAAAATACGCCAAATCTGGATTTAAAATATGCCAAATCTGATTGAATACGTCAAATCTGATGTGAATACGCCAAATGTGAAATGAATACGCCAAATCTGATATGAATACGCCAAATCTGAAAACAGCCAAATCTGAAAACAGCCAAATCTGAAAACAGCCAAATCTGGATACAAATTAGCCAAATATGGATATACAAATAAGCCAATTATGGATATAAAAAAAAAACTAAATCTGGATACAAATAAGCGTAATCTGGATTTAAAATCAGCCAGATCTGGATACACATAAGCTGAATCTGGATAGCGGTACCGATCGCGGGCGCAGCCATCTTGGAATAATAAAAACACCGGGATGCAGTTTAATTAAACAACTATTGGTAGGGACATCAGTCGGCAGACTACACGTCGCGAATTGATGACTGTCAAAGTTGGTCAACAGGGGATACAACAGGAAATTCGACAATTGCTGAAGTTGGTCAGCAAAGTGTTATTTAACAAGAAATAAAATAGGAAAAGTGGTGGGGGAGAGAAGGAAACGAGACAGTAAAAGGAAAGATAGAGAGAAAGACCAGAAGATGAAGATCAGAAGAGAGACAATGCAGGAGACAAGAAGGAGAGAGCAAGAGGTAGAAGAGTGAAAGAGGGAAGGAGGAAGAGAGAGAGGAGTGAGAGAACAGAAGATGGAGACTAGGGGGAATTACAATGTCACTTTCACCATCTCCCAGCTACAACATGTAGCTATTTATACTATTACCGCTAGAAACAAAGGCACACAACACAGCAGCTGCTCCTTCCCGCACATGCCATGCCATTGCTGTTTGTGTGAATCCACAGGCTGCAATACAGCCATGGCCTTTAACAAGCAATTTTAGCTAAAAATAGCTGATAATCAAACTGCCCTCACACCTGAAAGGACCTTTAACGAAAGTAGCCAAATGGCCCCCAAAAAAAGCCTAACTGCCGAAAATTGCAGGAATTACGAACGATTCCAATTCCATTCATTGGGGCGGTCAAAATTCACAGCTTCTTAAGGTCAGAATGCCTTTTTTAAGGTCAAAATTAAGGTTCCTAGCCAGGATTCAATTTAACGGTTAATTTATCTTTCCCAGTCAGCTGCGGTCAGATATGGATTTAAAATAAGCCAATTCTGGATTTAAAAAACCCCAAATTTAGATACAAAAGAGCCAGATCTGGATTTAAATAGGAAAGATCTGGATATAAATAGGAAAGATCTGGATATAAATAAGCCAAATCTGGATTTAGAAAAACGAGCCAGATCTGGACGTAAAATTAGCCAAATCTGGATACAAATAGGCCAATCTAGATTTAAAATACGCCAAATCTAGATTTAATATATAGACCAAATCTGAATTTAAAATAGGCCAAATCAGGATTTAGAACGCCAAATCTGGATTTAAAATATGTTAAATCTGGATTTATAATAGGCCTAATCTGATATGAATAAGCCAAATCTACTGAATTTTCATTATTCCTTCACTATCCTTCTAACTTTAAGAAACTATACACTAAAGCACTCTTCGAGCATTGTTTTCATGTGACTTAAGGGACCAACCTCACTCTCAAAGAGTTTTAGAGAAAAATCACGTCCACATCGTTGCTTGCCTCAAGATGATCGACAAGGCGGGAGAAGGGGTTACCAAGAGAATCCCAACTTCTGCTTGGAAGAAGCTTTGGCCGGAGAGTGTTATCTGTTTTGTAACTTTGAGGGGTTCGAGACAGTGAAACCTGTAGTCAACGAGATTGGGTCTTTGGCCACTATCATGGGGTTGTAGGTGGATAACAGTGATATCAAAGAGCTTGTGGAAGAGCACAGCCAAGAGCTGCGTTTTGGAGAAAAGTTTGTCAGAGGAGGAGGTAACAGAAAAGCAACAATTTTCTGGCGAAATAAGAGAAATGCTGAAAGCATGGCAAGCTGTTGCATCTTACATCGAGAAGCATCGCCCTAATAAGAAAGTGGCTATGCGCATTGAAAATTTATTTAATGATAATGCTGTGTCGCATTTTTGCCAAATTTTGAAGCGTCTGCAAAAACAAATCTCTGGACAACTTTCTAGTAAAAAAAAAAATTAATAATTAGCTATGTATCATAATAATTTCGACTTTTTTTCTCTGCAAATGGAATTCGCATTCCTTGTGTGTTCCTTACGTGTTTGAAGAAAAGATGAAGGTGATCCACTCTCCTTAACAATATGTACATAATTTTCTTTGAATAAACGTTATACATAGCATTTTGTGAGTATCTTTTTCGGCATGGAACGCATTATCGTATATTTAATTAATTTATATGAGAAAAATGTCAAAAATGACCCGACTTGTGACTGTTATGATCCGCTCAAAATTGGTGGCAACCCTATTCCGGAACTCTGCTACGCAGATGACACAGTCCTCCTTTCGAACAGCGTAAAGGGAATAGAAAATTTAATATTGTCCGTCCAAAAGCACAGTGAAGATGAAAATCTGTTCTTGAATTTAAAGAAAACGAAAATAATGTCCACAGATAAAACTGGCTGTTACCCAAAAAAAACAATAAATGATGAAGAAATTGAAAATGTCACAAACTTTGAATATCTAGGCTCTATAATAAACAACAATGGAGACTGTTCGACAGAAATTAAAAGGAGGATGGCCATAGCAATGCAAAGATTGAACAGCCTTAAAAGTCTATGGTTAAGCACCAGCAAGGAGATACAAATTAGAATTTTCAGAGCATGCATCTTCCCTGTGGCTACATACGGATGTGAGTCGTGGACTATTTCTCAGTCTTTAAGAAAGAAAATAGGGGCTTTTGAGCTGAAATGCTATAGAAAGATTCTCAGAATATCTTGGGCAAAGAAGATGAGAAATATTGACATCTTAAAAGATCTGAACATCAAGGAAGATTGGCTAATAAACAGCATCCTTTCTCGAAAGCTGAAATATTTTGGTCATATCAAGCGCCACGACGGATTGGAAAAAATTATAGCAGAAGGCATGGTACCAGGAAAGAGGGGCAGAGGCCAACCGACACGAAGATGGGCACAGGATATAAGTGACTCCTTGAGTGTGAAAGTTCAGGAGGCGGGAGAACTGGCAAGAGACCGAGTGTCTTACAGGCAGACTGTGATGAGAGCGACGTTCTGCAAAGGACCTGCTACATGATGATGATGATATGAGAAAAACTGTTTCGCATAATGAGTGTTTCGCTTAACAAGTATGATTCTGGAATATATTATGCTCGTTAAGCGAGGTCCCACTGTAGTTGACTGAGGCCTATACTTCATGGGGAGATACAAGGCAAAAGAAGAATTTACCTTGGCACAAGATCTTTCAAATCCAGAGACAAATACTGAATGTCCCAAGGTCTAACCACCTGGAAATAAAATATAAAAGTAAAGAAACATGAACACACAACAGAGACTGTCAAGTAACTGATAATGAGTTTCTGGCAAATGATGTGCCCAAATAACAAAACCTAATGACTGATAGCATTGTCAAAAGTATAAGCTATTATCTGTGTAAATGTGATTCAACTGTTAAAAATATAAATACAAAGTAATTCTTTGGTATAAAATTATCAAGGAAGCCCCATGCTTGTATCATTAACAATATAAAATTGTAGAAACATTTTGTAAAGAACACTATTTAATCTCTACTATACATTAGGGGGAGTCGCTGTGGCAGAGCGGCTAGGCGCTCACCGTGGATCGGAAGGTCGTGGGTTCGCTCCCTGGTGGAGCCGGACTTTTTCAAAATGACCTTGGCTCCCAGCCTTGAGTGGGTCCCGGGAAGTAAAGGCAGCCGGTGTGATGTTGACCACATCACCCATCTTGTGCCGATTGGTCTTTAAAATATAGGTCTAGCCCTATATGCCTTAAACGTCTAAAGGGTCCTTTACTTTTACTTTTTGAGATCATGTATCTTTCCTGTGGCAACTACTGGATGCGAGTCATGGGCTCATATTTAATCACTTGAGATAAGGAACCGGTGCTTTTAAATCAAAATGTTCCCAAAAAAGTTCTTTGCATAACATGGACCAAGAAGAAGAAAAACGACATCTTATATAATCTAAATATTGAGAAGTGGCTCATAAACAGTATACAGTCCCAAAAGCTGATAACTTAAAACAGCATGGCAGCTTGAAAAAAAAAACTGTGATGCAGAGTACCACAATTTCCAGTTTCTGCAAAAAGAGGCAGAGGCTGACCTTCACGAATGCGGAAACAAGACACTGAAGAAGCATTGGCTATGAAAGCACATAGGGCTGGAGAATTGGCTAGAGACAGAAGGCTTTCAGGTATGCCGCAAGACAGCAACATGGTGAGAAGAACCCGTTGATTGATTATATTTAAAAGAAAGAAGTCTGCCATCTCTACAAATAATAATTGGCCACAGCGTACTACCACTGTCTTTAGGAATATTACGTGGTGAGGCCCCAACCTATTCCACGGTGCGACCCAAGTACATCACAGCTGAGACTAGAAATACTGTCAGCACTAAAACTTACCGCAATTTTCTCATGGATCTTTTTTGCTTGGTCCAAAGTGTTTCTCAGCAACATGGCCACGGTCATCGGTCCAACACCACCAGGCACCGGTGTTATCCAAGAGGCCACCTCTTTGGCTGAAGGATAATGAACGTCTCCCACAAGCCGATATCCACTTTTCTTGGTGGCATCTGTTGGTATATAACATATAAGAGGGCTTCAAATGAAAAACTTAACAGTGTGGGGGAAATATACAATAAACATTTTACATAGAACTTGTTCTGCTGTATGGCAGCAAATCTTGGAATGTCAGTGAACAAAATAAGAAGAATTTGGAAGCAAAAGAGATGTGGTTTCTGAGATGAATGTTATGAATACCTTGGAGGGCCAGAGTAACTGACAGCAATTGCTTGAAAGAAGCTAATGAAAGTAGATCTCTACATGCAACAATAAGAAAGAGACAAACACTGTTATTTGGCCACATAATGAGAAGAGAGACATTGGAGAACATTGTGACAACTGAAAAGATCAGTGGGACAAAGGGTAGAGGCAAACCAAGAGAGAAATGATGCTAGATGGGCTGAAACGATGGCATGGCGGGATTCAAGGCAACCAGGGATCGTGATCTGTGGAGACGCATGAGCGCCTACATCAGTTGGCAGGGGACAAGATGATGTCATTGTCTAGTAACCTGTCTATATTGTTAAGGATGTCAACAGTGTTAAGCTAATGACCTCATGGTGCAGAGGAATATGGTGACATTATAATGACAGTTAAAGATGGTCGCCCCCATTTCTGACACACAAAATATAGAAAAAACACTATACTTGAAATATATGCTGATTAAAAACCAATATGAATAAGTAAATGATGTATAAAAACAGCGGACAATTAAAATCATTTCTTGTCAGCTGGTGTAGGTGTTATGTTTCTTCATAGATCACAGCTCTAAGTCTTCTGGATCATCACTATTGTTGATATTTCTCTATACCACCATCATAAACTCTTTGCTCTTTGTCTACTTTTGGCCTCTTCTACTGTTGATCCTTCTGGTCATCATCAGGTTTACCAGTGTCTGTTCACAAGTTCAATGTATTTTTTTGGAGTTAGTTTTTCTTCTGGCTATTCAAATGTATTATGTATTATTATTATTACTCTAGCGCTAGTGTTAATGTATTTGTTAGTTATTCCTCTGGTTGTCCAAAGTATCTGTTAATCATTCCTCTGCCTGTCCTACGTATTTGTTAGTTATTCCTTTGGTTGTTCAAATGTATTATTTACTCCGTTGTTCAAATGTATTATTTACACTTCTAGCTGTCAATGTATTTGTTAGTTATTCCTCTGGCTGTCCAAAGTATCTGTTAATCATTCCACTGCCTGTCCTACGTATTTGTTATTTATCCCTCTGGCTGTTGAATGTCTTCACATTTGTCTTGGAAACCACATCTCCACTGTCTCCAAGCTTTTCCTAATTTGTTCACCCACATTCCCAGATTTACTGCTATACATACGAACATGTCTGACTCTGACATTTAAGGAAAGTGACTTATTAATGACTAACAATCAAGTACATCAGTTGTCCCCCTTTCATCATAATTTTAAATTTCTTCTACTGCCCTTAAAAGGATGGTTGGCACTTGTGGTTTACAGCTAAGCTGGGATATATGCACCCTTTGGCCCAACATCTGATTTCAGCTAACTCATAATTCAGGCCTTTCAACTGGTGGCCTGTGAGTCAGATCTGGTCTTCAGAGCCCTGAGGATCATCTACCAATTTCTTTGTAATAAAAATCTTTATATGCTGGGGCTATTATCTAAAGCAGTGGTTCTCAGCCTTCTTAATGCCTCGACCCTTTAATACAGTTCCTCATGTTGTGGTGACCCCCAACCTTAAAATTATTTTCGTTGCTACTTCATAACTTCAATGAATATGTGTGAAAGGGTTGCGATCCACAGGTTGTGAACCGTTGATCTAAAGTTTTGGCCCCTAAGTAAACTTAGTTGAATGGCCCTATCATTAGTTGCTTTTTAACCCCAAATGGGACTGCAACACTCATACAGGGACTAATTTCACATAAAGTCAACCCAGAAGCGAAAGAACAGAAGACAAGTATTCCATGGCAGAAACTCCTGTAGAACTGTGAAATGTTAAGCTTTCACATTGATATATCTCAGCATTAAGAGGTGATCTAAGCAGCTCACTTCCTCACCCCTTTTACTTTATAACCGAACCCCTAGTATGCATCTGACAAGACTATGTCAATACATAGTTACATTCGTAGAGAAGGAAATCTGTGTTGTCACTGCTGGGTTTTGAACTCACTAAAGCACTGAGCTGTTAAGCAAACAATCCATAATGCCATGGGGCATGATCAGAAGAATGTATTACAGAAGATATAAGAACAAACCTGGTAAGGAGTTAATTCCACAGTCTATTACAATTGCTCCTGGTTTGATCCAGTCACCTTTGACAAGTTCTGCTTGTCCAATGCCAACAACGAGAATATCTGCCCTAGAGACCTTGAGAAACATACAAATAAAATATCTCAGACTGGAACTAATGCCCTAAAACATTCTACTTTACGTGTGACATAAAACAATTTTTTAACAATACTGAATCTGGTAAAAGAATATAAGTTAGAAAACAAAGAATGAGAAATGCAATTATAATATTCTGGCTTTACATATCCACAGCAATTATATTTAAATTAAAAACAAACCGGCCAAAAGAAAATGAGAATTTAACTAAATGACTACGTGGATACGGTTGCTGCTACAGTGCAAAACAAACTGCAACGACTGTATCAGGCTCTAGTCACATGCAGCCTTCTCAGGCACACTGACAGATAGTTCAACATCATTTTGAACATGAAACAAGAAACATTGGAAACGCCACAGATCAGATTTGAAATGTTTATTGGTTCCAACAACCGTTTCCAGCATCAATGCACCAGAGGTATAAACATCTAGGGCGACCAGACTGGCCACATACAGGACATCAATGAATTCAACATTACCTTCACAGGATGACCAAACATAGCACCTCCAACCTTAGACACTTCATAAGCTACCAGTCGTACACTTGAGCAGAAACACTTGTATTGCAGCAGACATCAATGGACTTGGATAGTCAGGTATTTCTGCTCGGTTGGTTGCCCGTTCAAACACTCACGCTCTCTGAAGATTTATTCTCTTTTCATTCTTCAATAGGCATATGATCTGGCTTTCTCATCCTCGAAAACAAGACTGAATCTTCTCAATCATTCCAAGTTTAAATAATCTGTTTTCATCTTAAACGCTCCACACAAGATTCATGCTTTTTTTCATTTGGCACACTTTCAGCCAACTTACACCAGCTGAAAAGCCCTGGTTTAGCAGATCTTGAAATATTAATTTACCTCAGCCTTCAGGTCTGCTGTTCGAGAATGGCAGACAGTGACAGTGGCATGGTTCCAGAGAAGCAGATCTGACATTGGAGCTCCAACAATCTTACTGCGGCCAAGAACAACAGCTTGCTTGCCCTTGACATCTACCCCTGGAATTATTTAGCAACCACAATTTAATGCCAGCACAATTATGCTAAATAAAATAATACATACAATAGCACAGCAGTTAGCAGGCTAGCCCAGTAGCTCCATCATGTAGCAGGTCCTTTGTTAAACATCGCTCTCATCATAATCTGCTTGAAAGAAACTCAGTCTTTAGCCAGCTCTCCTGCCTTGTGAACTTTCATATTCAAGGAGTCACTTATATCCTGTGCCCATCTTCGTGTCGGTGGGTCCCTGCCCCTCCTTCCTAGTACCATGCCTTCTGCTACCAGTTTTTCTAATCTGCCATGGCGCTTTATATGATGAAAATATTTCAGCTTTCGAGACAAGATGCTGTTTATTAGCCAATCTTCCTTGATGTTCAGATCTTTTAAAAAGGTCAGTATTTCTTCTCGAGTATAAGTTCAAATAGAAAGAATGTTTTAGAAGGGTCTCAGTTAAGCAAGATATACTAACAACACAATACTCAGTGGTATAAGTTAAATCCCTTTTCGTAAAGCTGATCTCGTCAAACCTAAGATAAACTGGATATCAGAGAATGTTCTGGAAATAAAGATAGCCTGTATGATATTCACATCAACCAACAACTACTGATTACTTATATACAAATATGGGACTTATTATGACCAAATCAATGTTAGTAATAATTAGTCAGTAATGAATTTAATAAACTTCTTCTTAAAGTCCATTCTCTGTGGCGTTGGCAGTCAGGGTATATAGAACAACCTTCTGTCTCGCATACTTTCAATCAACTTTGGTAGAGATGATTCTCCATGCCATGATGTCAGACTGTCCAACATCTTTTCTCTCGGCTCTTTCCTCTGCCTCTCCTCCCCTCCAAATTTCCTACTGTCACGTTGTACTCCAGTTTCCTCTTTCTCATCACATGGCCAAAGAATGTAGATTGTCTCTTTCTGATGTGGGCCATCAGTTCTCTTCATGAGTCAATTTCTGTCAAGACGTCTTCATTACTCTTTTTATCAGTCAAGGGTATTCTCATAATTTGTCTACAAAACCAGATTGTCACAATTTCCAAATAAGTTTTCACTAATTTACCAACTGTTCATCATTCACTTCCATATATCAAGATAGGATTTATACAGCTTTTAAGAATTCTCTTCCTCGTCTCAACTGACAAAGAAAGAATGCATAAAATGAATTTAATTAAAATTTATTGTGTAGCCCTTACAGGATGTTGCAGAACTAACTACAGCATTTTGTGGCTGTCTGTGATTTCACTAAGCAACTGTTAGTTCAGTAGTTTTCTATCACTTTCTCAACAGTTGGCTCTCAAATATCACTGTCGAAACCAACGCAAAACCGTCTGCTGCCACATCACCTGCAGCTGGGATCGAACCCGGAACCTAGGAATTACAAGACGTTCATAATGGCTAGGCCACAGAGAATGACTTTCATAAATACATTATTACGGTGTGGGTTCTGGGGCCCCATTTTAGGGTAAAAAAAATACACCCACTGCTCCCTTTAACAAGCACATCATAAAAATTGACTAATTAGGGTTTGAATTTGGAGTGCATCTACCTAAAAGCGAGTAACCCACAGTGTGCATAAAAATAAGTCCAGAAGTGGACTAACAATAAGAACTTCCAGCCATAGTTTACAGCTGGTGAACATGAAGAAGATAAACACATTAAAGAGAGAATTGTCAAATATTATGCGCAGCCATACTAAATGGTTGTAGAAACCTGAACAATGAACAAGAAATTCGAAAATAGTACCGAATCTCTGGAAATGTTAATAATATATACAGTAGAAGCAGGAATTTATGAAGAAAACAAATTAAATAAAGAGGTTCTGAAGGGAGTGTGAATGACAAGAGAGTTTCTGGTGGAAATAAGGAGACAGGTGACATTTGTTTATTCATATTGAAAGATATAACAATCTTATAAAAACTATACTGGAAAAAAAAGTTGAATGCACACAAGCAAGAGGCAGACAGCAATTCAATTGGGAGGATGGCATTACAAAATGGACGAAAATCAGTCTCAATGGGTGTGCAAAGAGGGTATGGTGGAGATCCATTTCAGCCAACCTTCAATGCTGAGATGGTACCTGATTGACTGAATGATTTTAACACATTTCTCAAGCATTTATAATGCAGTTATTACTGCTATTGTGTTGAATCTCATCTCTCAGTTTTTTTTTTTTGTTTAAATCATACATTTCATCACCGCATACAAAATAAATCTGGCTTCCTTGGTAGCCACTTCCACTGTGTATTTCATTCTCCTGAGTAACTCACTTTTTTTAAGGTCAATGGGGTTAGTTATTTCTAGGGCTGTAATGAATCAACTATTCGGCCGAATACGAATAGTGTGTAGTGTATAAAATATATCTTTAAAAAAAACATACACACACATTCATAATGTCAAATGTAATCTGAACTTTTACTTCACATAAAGTAGCACAGAATAGTCATCTTCTTCTTTAGCATTCTGAGCCCTTGAGCTTTACTGTGCAGATATCACTCATCTCCATTCATCTCTCTGGCTGGCCTTCTCTTCACAATTTGTGACACCAGTTCTTTGCAGGTCTGGCTGGACATTATCTCTCAATCTTCTTTTTTGTCTGCCTCGTGGTCTACGCCCTTTCCTCTCTCAGGTGTATACAGTTTTACTTCTCTGTCATCTAACATTCTTTCAATGTGCCCCCAACTATTTTAGTCTGTTAGCTCTCTCATGATGCCAGTGATTAAAACAGATTATGTGTTACGTTGTTGCTTCTAACGCTCCACTCCCCTCTAGTAGCATCTTTGATGGGTCCACAGCTTTGTCGTAAGACTGTTTTCTAAAACCTGTAACAAGGCCTTATCTCTTTTATTTCTGCTTCAAGTTTCAGAGCCATATAAAACGACTGGTCTTATCAACGTTTTATATATTTTGATCTTGATGTTGCGAGACAGACACTTTGACTTTAGCAGATGTTGAAGGGCATAGTATACTTTATTTTTAGATTGTTTACTATATTGTATTTCTTCTCTCAGCATGTTGGAGCAGTTGAAGTTTGCACCCAAGTACCTATATGTTTCCGTTCGTTTGATTTTCATATTATCGACTTGGATGTAGCCGGAGTTTATATTCTTTCCATGTCTAGTTAGTATTCGTACAGAAAATTAAACATTTAAAAACATTTTATGTTGTTCATTCTTCAGTCAGTCTGTGTTAACTAATAACTAGGAATGAAAGAATGCTAAGTATTATAACAAGTAACTAAACTTGGCACGTGTCACTGACAGCTTAGTTAATGCATGAAAGCTGCATTAGCTTTCAACAAAACCAATCGTTCTATGTTGTCGGTATTAAGGCTGTGAATGCAAAATCGGGTATAAGGTAACTACTATTCGTATTCGGCCCAACCGCAACTATTCGCCCAAATACTGAATAGTCAATAGGTCCACTATTCGGCCCCGAAGCGAATATTCGGTACAGCCCTAGTTATTTCCTCCTATACCATTTCATGCAAAGAGTCTTGGGCTTAAAGAGTTAAAGCTCTATAGTTTTTTTTTTAATGTATTGTTTACAAACACCCAAGGGACCTTGAGCTGACATCGCAGGTGTATGGCCCATAGTGGATTTAGCGCATGAGCAGAGATCACTGAAGAAAAAGAACATACTGGAAAACATAACAAGGATGTTTCAGAAAGGGCTCAGTTGAGCAAGATTTATTAACAACACAAAATAAATGTCCAAAATTGACTACCTGTTCTCTTGATGAGTTCCATGCATCCCCTGGGAGTGCAAGGAAGGATGCAAGAGTCAAGGTCACCTCGAGAAAGACGGCCAGCATTGTCCTGGTGTAAACTGCGTGAAATATGAAACATGTTACTTTCCTGTTTTGTGGTTAAAACTTATTAAAAGATCATTAGTCCTTAAAGGTCAACCGATTCTACTCAGAGATTATTTATTTTTCCTTCTGTGTGGGTTCTGGAGCTCCTTTTTTGATGAAAACAAAAACGACCCACTGCCTCCCAAAAAGCATGTCAAAAAGGTGACTAATTAGAGGAGTTTCCTTTCAAGTCCAAATGCGTCTGCCTGAGAGGTGGGGATCCAACAGTCTGCATACAAACAAGCCAGATATGTAAAATGGATGTGCACATAAACATAAGACTCAAGTTCTGGAAGACGACGAAAGCTCACAGATGGATGAACAAACAGAGCAAATAAAATAAACAACGTATGTATTCACTAGCAAGGAAAAACCATTTACTATTTTTTATGGGGAAAAGGTTGAGGGGGGAAAAAGGGGGTGGTGGAAGGGGGGGGGGGGGTGTTACTGCACATGGTACTTCAATAACAAAATTTCTCCTAACAGATTGCATAAGAATTATATAACAAATCACGAGCTCCATTTGACTGGTTATGATCCAACTGTGTATATCCCTAGGAAGGTATCACACTTAAATATGCTTGCTTTAAAGAGTTAATCTAATAGGGAAATGTAGCCCAGGCAGTGGCATTTTCAGTCTGTTCTGAAGGATTGTTAACCTGCACATAACACTTTTAAGCTGTTGTTTTTTTTTCTTGTCCGAGGTTAGGTGACTTTCCATAACCATAGGATCTGGAGGAAGTAAACAACCTTTCTTTAAACCACCATACGGTAAATGCCATAATTTTAACCAAGTTTGCATGAGCCATAAGACCCTCTGAGCTGTTCCGTTTTCTGATAACTAGAACTTTTACCATACTAGCCAATTAAAAAAAAGAAAAAAGAAAGAAAGAAAGAAAGAAAGAAAGAAAGAAAGAAAGAAGAAAGAAAAAAGAAAGAAAGAAAGAAAGAAAGAAAGAAAGAAAGAAAAAGAAAGAAAGAAAGAAAGAAAGAAAGAAAGAAAGAAAGAAAGAGCGTACCGTTTAGGCATTTCAACAATAATACCTCACATAAATTAACAAAACAGACATATCAGCTTCTTTGCTTATGGCTCAGCATTTGTGTTTTAAAAAGTTTTTAATGACTGTAAAATGTGCCCATGTGATTGCTTTTTCTTCTACATTCTCTTTAAAGAGTGGTTTTACTCCTCATGTGGCTTCTGGGCTCCACTGTGTGGGGGGTGCGCGCTTGTGTGTGGTAGGGATTGGAAGTCCTAACAATCATGTCATAAGAGTCAACTAATTAGGGGCTTCCTTCAAAGTCAGAGTGCATCTGCCTGAGAAGCAAGGAACTAACAGTCTGCATACAAATAAGCCAAGATATGTAAAAATAATGCGTGCTCAAAACTAAAATTCTGGAACAAGGCTCAAGCCCAGAAGTGGGCAAAAAGCCAGAAATATCGGCCTGAATTTACAGCTGGTAAACGCGAAGAAGAAGAGAAAGAGCTGTTATATTCTGGCATAAAACTAGGTTACGATATCTATATCTTTCAGGGGGGGGGGGGGGGGGCTGAGTTGTCTCGAGGCATTGTTTTCGCCTAGAGTGCTAGATGTTCCGGGTTCAAGCCCCGGTGAAGGCTGGGATTTTTTTCACGTGAATTTCTAGTAATTTCTCCCTGGTCTCTGGGTAGTAGGACCGGATGCCCATGTATATTGTTGCGCACGTAAAAAAGTCCCTTGGCAGTTGGAAATCGAAAAGAGTAGCCTAACAGCACTGCCAGGGCCTAATTTTGATTTTAAAAATCTATTTAAATTATTTCAGGATCCTCGCGGTTGCAAAAGAATTTGTGCACTGTGCTGAGATTCTTCGGACTCATGCCTGAGTTAAAAGAAGAACGGAGCACTTATGGGTTACACCTGTGTGCTATGATGTTGATCCATTGAATAAACAATAAACATCTTTCAGCCCAACATATCTGATTTAATCAAATGCCTAATTAGTCACCTTTTATGTTCATATAGAATGACCATTATTTCTTGAAAATGGGACCCAGGAACCCATTAAATATATATATATATATGAAACAAACACACACAAACATACCCATCAACATCCTTGCTTTGCAGTATGGCATTAGTGACACAATGTGCATCAATTGGATTTTCACTGTCCAGGGGCAGCTAATATCAATTAAATAAATGCATTAAATACATGAAGGTATCTATTAGGATCACATCAAAAATGGGAATCGTCTAATTTTTATGAACCGTTCAACCCTACTGTGTGAAGTAGAGTCGGGGGACAATGAGAAATCAATTAGCTGAATTGAGTCTTCAGAGAATTTGATATTTAGAGGTTTAATGCCAAATATAGAGGTCCTGAAGTGACTGGGAATGAAAAGAGTTGCCAAAATAATTAAGAGAGATAAGTGAGATTATTTGGTCACAAAATAAGACAAGACACTCCTATAAAAACAATATTGGAAGGAAAAGTTAAAGTCAAGTGAGCAAGTGGCAGACAGTGATACAAGAGGGAAGATAATTTCAGGAGATGGGCAAACAGCAGTCTCAGAGGGTGAAATTTATTCAGGGTAAAATAATGTGTTGGAGATCCATTGCAGCTAATCTTCACTGTGAAGATGACCCCTAATTGAGTCATTTATGTGTAAATTTGCACCACAATAGTACATAAAGTAAGAACCAATATAGGAAAGCTTAACATTAATTTAATGACAAAATGATTAACACAACCAGTTAAAGTCCCCCTTGTGAAATCACACACAAAAATATATATTTTCTAAATTTTACTTTCCACCTGATTGTATTTTTGTGCATATGTCAAATCTACATTCAGTTATAACTTTACTCATCATCATCATGTAGCAGGTCCTTTGCAGAATGTCGTTCTCATCAGTCTGCCTGAAAGAAACTCGGTCTCTCGCCAGCTCTCCCGTCTAGTGCACTTTCACATTCAAGGAGTCACTTACATCCAGCGCCTATCTTCGTGCTGGTTGGCACGTGCCTCTCCTTCCTGGCACCATGCCTTCTGCTACTTTTTTAAAAATCTGCCATGGCGCTTGACATAACCAAAATATTTCAGCTTCCAAGACAAGATGCTGTTTATTAGTCAATCTTCCTTGAAGTTAATATTTTTTTAAATGTCAGTATTGCTTTTCTTCTTTGTCCATGGTATTTTGAGAACTTTTCTGTAGCATTTCAGCAGAGAAGCCCCTATTTTCTTTCTTAAGGACTGGGAGATAGTATCTGACTCTTTGGACCCATAAGTGATTAAAATGCTATGTATGTATGAAATGTGAATTTATACATTCACCATCATTCACAGACATCTTTTATAATGTCAGTGTTTCTGTATACCTCTACTGCAATGTATAAATTCTGACTTCTGGTTAATTTACAAGTGAGCAACTGAAGAGGTATATGTTATTAAGCTTCAATGAATTAACTGCTTTATTTTTTGTAAATCAATTCTTCATGGTATGAAAACAATGTCAGTACTGGAAGGGATTCATTCTGATGCAACTGCAAGAACAGTTGGCAGGACAATAATAATATATTTGTGTATATGTGTGTGGCAAAGCAAAGCAAGGGACCCTTTTCAACACCTTCATGTGTACTGGGCATATAGGGCTAGAAGTAAATTTTACAGACTTAATCGACATTAGGTGGGTGATGTAGTCAGCATCACACCGGCCACCTTTACTTCCCCGGAATGTAGCTGGTACTCACTCAAGGCTGGGTCGACCTGGGAGCCAAGGTCATTTTCTTTAAAAAGTCTTGCTCCGTCAGAACCCGATTTTTGTGGAGCAACATTAAAATTCATAATCTGTTTCAATCACCACTAATCACTGGCATCATAAAGGCTAATACACTGAATTGGTTGGGGAATATTGAGGGAAATGTAGATTAAAGAGGCAAAAACCGAGCACAAACAAAAAAGTTAAATGGTAGAAGACCATCAGACAGACAAGGAAGATAGATGATTTACAGTCAGGCATACAAATACTTGGAGTCTCCAAATAAAAGGGAAGCCATCCACAGAGATCAATGGAGAGGGATGATATTTGCTGCAATGAATCTCAAGGGCTCAGAATTCTGAAGAAAGAGTATGTGTGTGTAACCAGTGTGAGTGCTGACTGTGTGACAGTGAGGGAGAAAGAAAGTTAAGAAGGTGAAATTAATTATGTATTTTAAGTGAACATTGTGTACTAATCATATTTCAATTAAGATATCAAATAATCATGTAACATTACCTGAACAATAATACCATGAACGGAGGTGTCATTATTAAGTCTATCAATACAAGCCAACACCTGAAATTGAGAACAAAATAATTATTTACATTGCCACAATACATGTATACATGCTGAGCTTAAAGGTGCCTTGATTCCAAAGTTGCAGGTTTGATCGTTTTATGATTATGTATAATTCCTCTGCGTTCACCCCCAAATCAGCACTAGGCATATTTTGCTGTGGGTTACAGCCATTTCGCAAGATCTGCACCTTTTGTGCTAAAATCGTCCAATTTCAGCACACCTCTAATTAGTCAATTTTTGTGACAAGCATGTTAAGGGAGATGGGAAGGAAATGAGGCTCAGCAGATGTAGCCTTTTTTTTTTTTTTTACTTACTTAGCCAAGTATTCCTTTTTTGTCAACAAAAATGGAACCCAGAACTCACAGAGAGAAATAAGTATAGTTCTTTATGAGTGTATCAAATTATTTTTTTCCATACACATTATATGAAAGGCTGTCACTGACAACTGATAAAATCCTAAAAGTTACTAGAAAGTATAAAGAATGAACAAGTAAAGGCAGGATTTGATTGATGTGGAGTGGCCAGTTCCGGTCATCACCTTTCGTTTTCCCAGTTTAAAAAATGTGAAGTTCATCTGATATCCATCTAGATGAGACTGGATCAACCCCACAGCCGAAATGCTTGCAAAAATAATTTTGTTTCTACTGTGGTTTGAAGTTACACCATTACCTTCACAGGCAAATGCTCTAGTCGCTAAAAAGTAAAGTCGGGAGATGTGGACCAACGCCATTGCACACGGTTATAAACCATAAGTGCTCTGCCACCAGTACAGACAGACGACAAGAGACTGTCCATCTTTGTCGCCGTATGCATGCAAATGAGTAGCTACAGTGACGTTCCTCCATTCACCCCAGAGTATTAACTCTGGCACTCATTACCTAGAGGCTAGGTGAACTCTGCAAGTCGCAGCTGGATTTGAAAGCGAGTCTCCTATCGACTGTGCTAATGCGGCTCTAGTCACTATGCAAATGCAGATCTTATACACCAGGGATAATCAACTAACTTTAGTCAGGGGCAAATTTTGTTTATGGGGATCGTCACAGGTCAGAGGCCCGAACTCAAACATAGAAAGATCATTAATATAATACAACTGGCAATGATTCGCGGGACACTTGCTAGGCCTCCGTGGGTCACCTGCTAGGCCTCTGCAGGTTAGATTCATTCGCTATGACAACAGTTTTAAATAAATTTACTTCACACAAACAGCAGAAAAGTATGTTATGTGGCAACTAGTTATTCGGCTTCTACAGTGTTAATAAAAAGTTGTTTAAACATTGTGTTGAAGCCTACAGCTAGGCTGCGATACAGGCTGCTTCCTTGAGCCCTGGGCAAAACACCTCTGATTTCAATAAAGCCCTAATTATTTGCCTTTTACGACATATGCTTGCTAGATGGCAGAAGACACCCCCCCCCCCCACACACACACGGTCTTAGGTACAATAGCAGACCCACGCACACAAAAAAGGAAAGAAAAAAGTGTGCACAATTATAACTAATATTTTTAAAGCTCATGAAGAAATAACCTTCTGTTAAACAAATGACCACCTACCTCATACTGAGTTGAAGAACGAGGAAGTTTAATATGCTCTGCACGAACACCTACTTCCTCTGCCGATTTCAGTTTCTGACCAATGTACACATTAGAATCCTCTCTGTTGCCAACCTGTTTGAAAATATGAGTAATATTATAACAATCAAACCAATTCATGAAGAGAAACTGGAGAGAGGATACAAACTGGAGAAAAACTGTAAGTGACCTGTGTATAATGGTTGTTTTTTAAAAGTTTTTTTTTTTTTAAAGAATTCCTAAGGGTTTCTGTTTATGGTTATAAAAGTTACAGGCGCAACAAGATTAAGGATCATATTATTTAATACCTGGAAGGCTAACCCGGTCAAAAAATGCCAGCAGAAGTCGGATGTGTTGGCCGAAAGGTGCGAATATCGCAGCCATGTTGTAAACGGACACAACGCAATTACATCTTCGGATGAACGCAGAAGAAGAAGAAGATATTTAATTATCAAGCAATGTGGCTAAATTTAAAAATATTTCTCTACGTGGCTAAGAAAAAATATTTTTTTCCCTTAGTATTCAGCTCATTTATTTCTCAAGGTATTCAGCGTATTTTGTTGATGTTCAAAGAATTATTATGATAAATCCTAATCAAACAAAGATAGAATTTAAACTTTTCAAGTGCCACCTGATTTTTTCAGGCACTATGGTGACCAGTCACCCTGTATCTGCCCTTCCCTCATTATGTAAATGCAATTCAACAACAGAAAATCTTTGATCAGGGGCCATTTGGATATTTATTAACATTATCTAAATGCTACACATGAGTATCAACTGGAAAAAAAGAAAAAAAAACTGGCCTGCTATATTTTGTCATAGTTAACTGGGGTAGTCTTGGCAGGGCCAGACTAAATTATTTTGTAGGCCTCTTAAAACCTGCAACCCTGATCTCCCCCCCCCCCCCCCCCCCTCCTCTAGCTCAGATTTATAGAATGACTAAACAGTTATATGTAATATCAGCAAAGCTTTGAAGTGTCCAACTTGTGAAGTTCTTATAAAACCTATCTAATGTGATATAAACAGAGCTTTGAAATATTTTATGTTTTTTCACCATGGAGATGAAAATGTTGACTGGCTGTGAACCATGGGTGGGATTAGAGTGTAGAACTGGATATATTCTTTTTAAATCGGACACTAGATCAAATTAACTGGTATCTGCAGAAAAATTATGTTGGAAAAATGAATTCTCTCAAAACCTTTTTTTTTTTAATCATTACAAAACTCTGTAAATGGGACTACACTGGAGACATCTGCATAAACTTTAAAAGACTAAACCTTTCAAGTTGACATGTATGAGAGGCATAGAAAAACACCCCAGGAGGTCACCGACATACAGACAAGACATTAACATACAATCAGATCTCGCAGATAGACAGGCAGTGAAAGAAAATTCAAAGAGGGCAAGAAGGAGAAAGGAAGGGGCAGAAAGAAAACAGTTTTTCTAATCACCTATGAATGGAAAACATACATGTATAAAGGCATGCAGATTACATAAGAGAAGATGTAGGTTGCTTGTAACATTAACAGATAAGACATGCAACAAAGAAATACATTTATACATTATGATTTGGTAAGATTAATATAGCAACAAGTACCTGAACAATTGCAAGTCCAGGTAAAAAATCTGGGAACTTTGACTGAAGTTCAGTTATCTCACTCTTTATCTGCTGCTTAATGTCACTGAAGAAAAACAATGTTAGTGTGTAAATCAATAAGTTCAAAAGATAGCATTAGACACAAGGTCATAGACAACACAAACAAAAGAGGTTAGGAAAAACAGACAGTTAACCTTATGGTTAAGGTTGCAAAGCACAGCCATCTGCAAACTATGCCCTAGTACTTACTACGTTATCAGCAAAAGGCATGTGTGAACTGTTACCGAGATTCTAGTTTCAGAAAATTAGAAAACAACACTTTAATATGGCATGGGTTATTTGACTAGCTTGTTTCTTCTTCTTCTTCCTTTTATCCCCTTCTGCTTCTTCTTCCTTTTGTCCCTCAATGGATTAAAAAATTTTAATCATGCCAAGTCATCCTATCGTTTACCATCGCATGCAGCTTACCTCATGTACTTCCCTTCTCTTTCACTTCAGTGTCATTCCCTTCTCCATGAGTTCTCTGCTTCAGAATTCTTGTAGGATGGTTGGTTATTTTTCTTTATTCTGTCTGGTAACAGTTGGTAGGTTTTTGTGGTTATAGTTTCTTTTATGGGATGAAGTAGCAAACCTCAAGCTTAACCTTTTCCTTAGTTACCTCTCATGATATTCCAAATAGGGTGCTTTGTGTGTGTGAATGGGAAGAAAAAGGGGGTGGGGGGGGGGGAGGGTAACACTATCTGGAAATTTTGTCTGCACTGTATTTTTACCCGATACATACGAGTCCAAGTATTTTACCCTTGTCAAAGAAAGCTAGATATTCAGCTCAGTGCCTAGTTTTTTAGGGGGTCCCAAGAATGACAGATATTCAATGTCAACACCTAAGAGATCCAAAACTATTCACCTGCAGAAGAAATCTACATTTCTTAGGCCCTCTACAGGAAGTCAACCTGGAAAATTGGATGGAAGCAAAACTGCTGTGAAGAAGAAACAGTATTTGCAGCACTCATAGTGAGAGGAAATAAATACATGAAAGCTGTGGGAGTTTTGTGCAGACTCATGTTACTGGAGAATGGAGGTCATAATGAGGTTCAAGATATTAATTTCACAGAGTGAAAAAAGAGGTCCATGAAATTAATAGGCAGTGGAAACAGAGCATTTTTTAACTGAGGGATGAAAGCTGTCAACAAAGTTGCTGAATCATTTTAAGCTCTTGTTATTATGATGGACATCTAGATCAATAGATTTATTATGTTATGTCATCTGTGATTTCATTTCATCAGACCTGAGGTCCTTGTTAGTACCTGTGTTTGTACATTACTGAAGGATTGTAACAGTACACTAATAATACACACTTTTGTTTTTCTCTAGACTGCTAAAGATAAGAGCTGTGTTAGGAGTTTTTTTATAAATTAGAAACATGCAAACAACTGCTCTATTATCATGTCAAACAGTGTTATTCGTGTCCTGTTCCAATTTTCAAACTGCAATTATACAGATGGAGATGGCCTTGAAGTTTCATTTGATACATTATCCAGGTCGATAACTTGTTTAACTTTGTTTTGATGTATTTTGAACCAGTGTTTTATGCTAGCAAAGAGTGTTGTTTTATTTGTATACACGTTATTGTAGAATTGTTTTGCTGCTGTTCTGAGATAGTATTCAGTATTCGTCGGCATAAGAAAAAACATCATTTAGTCTGCTGTCGTCTTCGCGCCAGATTTTGTACTTGGGTTGTAGAATGAATGAAGATGACAATGATCCGATTAATTAGCTAACTTCAGAAAACTCTAGTTGTCATTTCATTCACAGGTTTAACGACACACTGAAACCTGCACCAAATATCTAGACTAGAAAACTGGCGCCTGACCTATGAACCTTAAAAGTACAGTCTATAATCTATCTACGAAGATCAAGAGGCAAAACACGCACGGCATGAAACCGAACGCCGATTAAACACATAAAAGTCATAAATAAACACATTTTGCAAAAATTTAGACATGTAAACAAACCTGG